TCGGAATAACATAACAAGTTAAAGTTTTATTTAATGTTCGCACTGTGAATCGTGGACTAAAAATGACGGCCGTCTGGTGTAGTGGTAAGTGACATGGTCACTACACAGGGGGGTCGCGGGTTCGAATCCCGCCAAGGGAAGATATTTGTATGATAAATATAAATGTCTTTTCCAGGGTTATGGATGTCTATTAAATATATGTATGTGTATAATAAAAATCTTACATTTATATCCGTTATCTGGTACCTGTAACACAAGTTTTTTACGAAGTTAGCACGGGACCAGTTAACGTGGCGTGATTGTTAGTAAATATTTATTTATATCTGTCTTCACGTACTTCGAACTAATTACGGTCGTGTCGTACGACAGTCTTTAAAATCTATGTCTAATGAGGCTATTATAGTGGACACACATTTTTAAATGAATCCTAATTTTCCAAAGCTAAGAACAGTTTATTTTATTACGTCGGTGCAATTCAAAAACAGGAGTATACAAAAATGAGTAGTACTTTCTTCGCTTTAAAAGAGTTTCAGACACTACTATTACGGTTTAGTGCCGAGTTTGTTAATTCAATTTTGCAAATTTTGGCATTTCGTAAATTCTACAATTTACTAAAAACAATTTCACGAACGATAAATTTTTGGCATCAGGATTATCCTTCAGTCTGTCATGACAAACCTGACTATCTGACATTGGTGATAATCTCATTTAATTTTGTATTGTGTAAATTATATGTTATTTCCTAAAGATATTTATTAGTGACATCCCTATGAAGGAACAATAATATCATTGAATCTTCATAATCTTAATATCAAGAAGCAAACTTAATTATTTTGTTTTGACAGAACGCCTCTCGTTCTATTTAAGTTTCTATTTAACTCGGATATTCATATTCTAGTCATTAATTGGTGTCAATAGATGCACCGGCGTCGTCTTCTTTCATTCTATCTATCCTAGACGCCCCTTGGCTAGTGCTAACACCACCTATCTACCGCCGTTTTGGCCTAACCCTTAGTTAGAAACAATATTTGAATACGCGTTAGAAATTTCACAAAACCACCTGACCGCTATACTTAGATCTTCCAGGTATTTAAATAATGTATCATCGTTCGGGAACAAGACAGTCTTTGAATAATTCTATTAACATTTTAAGGGCATATATTATAATTATAGTATTAATATATTTGTAATCTCATAAAAATACTCTTGTAGTTAGTTATACTTAAACTTTAATTTGAACTGAAATTTTTTATTTAGCTGTTCTATTAGAAATATACCAAATGGTACTGTTAAAACAATTTCATATATTTAAAAAAATATTTATACATCAATACCAATATGTCATGCAAGAAGAAAAAAGCTTATCCCTCGAATTCGTCCCGGCTACGTACCTTCAATAAAACCTAGACTCCGGTTAAGTCGATTGAGCGCACGTATCGTTTGAATGTGTTTAGAGGCAGTTTGTCTAATACGATGTGCCCGTATTAACCGATATTTTAGCATACGACCGACGCGTAATATGCACGCCGATGTTCATTACACAGATCGCTTTCCTCCTGTTTAATTAGTTCGCCGCTAATGAAGTACTGTTAGCAAACTTGATTTTTAATTATCGTTTTGCAATTAAGCTGCGTTTTATTGGAAAGTCGATTGCGAATTTTAAGGTGTTCGCATGTAAAACCGTCTAGAATGCTATCTCCGGCGTCTAAAGAAACGTGGTTCTGTATCTGTGGTGTAATGTGCTATATTTATGCTTTAGAAATGTTAGTTCAATTAGGCTTTATCTGAATGAATGTATTAGTCGACTTTAATTAATATATTTGTTGGAGTGATAGAGCTTTTTGCTAATTTGCGGAGAGTATTAAGCGGTAGGCAGCGGCTTGGCTCTGCCCCTGGCATTGCTGAAGTCCATGGGCGACGGTAACCACTCACCATCAGGTGGGCCGTATGCTCGTCTGCCTACAAGGGCAATAAAAAAAAAATTTATCAGTTAATTTTATAAACTGAAATTTAACTTAACCATGATGTGCGTATTAAAAAAAAACAAATCCTCAAATAACTTTTTGGTATCACGGCAAAATAAATAAAAACATACTGTTTATTAACAGATTCCGTTGCGTGGGAGTTAGACGTTCGCTCCCGGGATTTTGTGTTTTATTACACTAATAAATAAAGATGTTGTTAATTTGGCGTATTCGAATAAATTAAAATTAGAGATCATTATAAAACACCCGCTTTGTTTTTTTCGTTTTCGTCGGTTCTTCTTGGGACTGGCTTCATGTAGGATCGCTGGTGAAGTCTACTGTGGCGTTCACAAATTATGCTAAAAAATAATAAAATTGAAATTAACAATTACGGCTTTGTATTTGATGGGCTATGAGTACATATCGACGCTTGAAAGGCAAACATGACTAAGCGACAATGCGTGAACTTTACAGTAGACTAATTTAAAGTTTTAAACTTTAAGGTATTTCATACCTGATTTATTTTTTATTTTAACGAATGTAGCTGTAGAATTGAAATGTTTTTATTTTCACAAATATATTTTTTTTGCGCATCGAATATGGTTATTGCCTATCATTTATGTATAAAGCAGTTATTGTCGCTTAGTCACGTTTGCCTTTCAAGCGTCGATATGCAAGAATTGAGGGATCAAGTGGAGAGTTTATCGTTTCAAACAAAAAAAACACAAAATGTGTTTACAAATCACTCCGTGTGCTTAGTGCGCGTTATTAACTTCAATTCTGCGGTAATTGCCGCTAGGAGCTCTGTTCCAACTCCATACAAATATGAGTTAACTTTTACGCGATCGAGAAGTTAAAAAACTCGCACTAAGCACACTGATCTGAGAATTTTTTTTATTGCTTAGATGGATGGACGACCTCACAGCCCACCTGGTGTTAAGTGTTGCCGGAGCCCATAAACATCTACAACGTAAATGCGCCAGCCACCTTGAGATATAAGTTCTAAGGTCTCAAGTATAGCTACAACGGCTACCCCACCCCTCAAACCGAAACCCATCACCGCTACACGGCAGAAATAGGCGGAGCCGTGGTACCTACTCGTGCGGACTCACAAGAGGTCCTATCATCAGTAATTACGCTTCACGATTTTGCGTGTCATCCTTGCGCATCCTTAATATTGAAAAAAAAAGCATATTGTCCAATACAGAACCTCCTCCATTTAAGAAGTCGGTTGGGATAGATAGTACAACAGAAAATAAATATCAAACATCTTCCAGTTCGCATATCAAAATCATACCGACGTTACGTTAATTGGTTTGCACAAAGCAATATCACATTCGTAGACTATTCGAAATTCAATTTAAATATAGAACGTACTTGAGACGTAATCCTTCAACCCACATATTTCGATACAGCCTCGCAATAAAATTGAATATCGATTCGTCTCAACCCGAGACGACACCTAGACTGTCTTTAATGGACCGGCTTTGTACGATTATATACGACTGACTGGATGGTGCAGATGTTAGCGTCCCTGATTTTTGCGCTCAGGGTCGTGGGTTCGATTTTCGCATCGGGCAAGTGTGCTGTGAAGCTTTGTTTGTTCTTTTTCTGGGTGTTTACTATCTATATTTAAACGTATTACATATGTGATTAATACGTATTTATGCAAAAAAATTGCTTAGTTGGGTGGACGAGCTCAGAGCCCACCTGGTGTTAAGTAGTTACCGGAGCCCGTAGACATTTATAACGTAAATACCGCCACCCACCTAGAGATATAAGTTCTAAGGTCTCAGTATAGTTACAACGGCTGCCCCGCTCTTCAAGCCGAAACGTATTACTGCTCCACGGCAAAAATAGGCAGGGTGATGGTACCTACCCGTGCGGACTCACAAGAGGTCCTACCACCAGTAAGTATGTATGTCAGTCTCTGGTACAATGTAACGGGTTATTGTAAGTAAATATATTTTTCGTTCAAAAACAAAAAAAAATAAGCGACCTTAACAAAATAGTCGAAGTCAATGAAATATGCGTCATTAAGGGTAACTCAAATATTACTATAACTCAAATAACCCAAATATTAGTATTTTTCCATAAATTGACTACGATAATGTTTGAATTATTTTCCACAGGCTACAAGCTAGGCCATCTAGTGTTAAGTGGATAACGTCGAATCAAAACCCCTTTTTAGTTAATTAGGCTTTTAGAGACGCTATCATAATATATATTTTAGTATAGTATAATAGTACCGTAATTACGTTATTGACTAATGACATGAACAAAAAATTCCATAAACTCTGGGCTTGCACTGTTCTAAATATACATACCTACATGTGTTTGTATATACACACATTTTTATTTTTTATAGAATTTGTGATAACATTTGTGATTTTTTTACCGACTGGCTCCCGCTAATTAATAAACATAATATCGCTTATTGTAAAAAGGCTTATCTTCAGGAACACCGACTTAGCTGTAAAATTAATATAAAATAAAATCATTCAATACTAACAAGAAACTAAACATAGCTTAATGGGAAAATAAATTCCAATGCAATCTCATTAGAGAATTAGTTATCTTAATCTTATATAGCAGTTTATCGTTAAATGTTAAGTGATATTAATGTTTTATCCTAGTTGGAGCTTGCAACATTGTTAACTTCGTCGTGGTCCTGCTAGCGACTTCTAGCGGCGAGTGGCAGAACCAAAGTCAAATTGACTTTGTAATTTGCATTACCTTGATTAAGTATTGAAATATATTTAAAAAAAAAGAAGGAAAATACCTGAAATACATTTAATATCGTAATATATTAAAAGCTCCCGTGAAATTCGTTTGCACCGTGCTTCATTCTCATTTAATTTATTCATGATATTTTTATTGAATCTAGGAAATGTTTACGAAACAAAATCGCTTGACAAACATTAGAGGAATTAGGTACTTAACTGGCCTATCGTCTTTGCCTATCGTAATGTAGATACGAATTATTTTAGAGCCTGTACGAATTGCCTTTGTTTTACTCATCAATATTATTAATAGATGTCTTTTGTCCTTTAGTGTTCGGCATCGACTCGCCCCTGGGCCTCTTCCCCCCCGGGATGGAACACAAGATGTACCCGCTGATGGATGTGGAACACCGGGCGCCGCCGCTCGACTCACAACTATTCACCAACGTTAAAAAGAAATGTAAGTCATTTTATTGCGAACTATCCTCGACAACTAGGGAATAAAATGAGAAATACTCTCTTACCGACGCATGATGCTGAGAAGTATAAGTGACATTTTTTTTTATTGCTTAGATGGTGGACGAGCTCACAGCCCACCTAGTATTAAGTGGTTACTGGAGCCCATAGACATTTAGAACGTAAATGCGCCACCCACCTTGAGATGTAAGTTCTAAGATCTCAGTATAGTTACAACGGCTGCCCTACCCTTCCAACCGAAACGCATTACTGCTTCACGGCAGAAAAAGGCAGGGCGGTGGTATCTAACCGCGCGGACTCACAAGAGTTCCTACCACCAGTAAATATATCGTCTTTTCGCATTAAAAGTGTACAATTTCCAAAAATATTCGAAATTGAGTTAATATGCGGAATCATTTGGTATCATAACCAGTATTTTTCTCATAAATACTGTCAAAAGAGCATAGTTTAGTTTTAGTTTTTTTTTTTAGATTGCCTATGCTTTGACTACTATTAACAAAATTAATACATAATTTTATCTTACTTTAATAGACAGATAATGTAACTCGTAAAACATAAAAAATAAATGTTTAGATGATGATTAATATTAAAAATGTCACATGTTAAACCTTAACACTCTCCTGTAAAATTAGTAAGTTTTGAGATACACTACAGTTTATACACTACAGTTTATACACTACAGTTTATACACTACAGTTTTAATGCGAAAAGACGATATGTCAACATAGCTCGGTAGCAGCGGCTTGGCTCTGCCCCTGGCATTGCTGACGTCCATGGGCGACAGTAATCACCTACCATCATGTGGGCGGTATGCTCGTCTGTCTCCAAAGGCAATAAAAAAACCACAAAGCAAACTCCTATTAAGCTATAATAAATAATAGTCTAAGAAAACTAACAAAATACGCTTTTATAGAAAATCCAACTAAAAAATAGAAAATAAATTTGAATTAAAGATACTGTAAAAAAATGATTTTATTCTAAAAAAAGCGTGGGTGCATGGTATCAGTAGCTATACATATTTTATGAACAGATATGATGAGTAGAAGGGATATTACCTGAAAAGCACCCCACGCTTTTTTACAATCAAATCATTTTTTCTTATACTATTTATAATTCAAATTTATTTTCTATTTTTAGTTGGATTTTCTATAAAAGCATATTTTGTTAGTTTTTTTAAACTAGTATTAAAATTTATTTCTCATTTTTTAGTTGAATTTCATTTTTTTCAATTTTTTTCCATCGGTCCTTAATAAGTATACCAAATTTCGAGTTAATCCGACGTTTTGAAGGGGGCCAAAATTATGTTCAAAGATTCCGTTACATACTTAACATACATACATCTGAAGCTAATAAAAGCGTATTAAAAATAATTAACATTGTTCCTATATCAACGCTCGTATATTTTTAGGTTTTAAAATACTCAGTTAAGAAATAAGGATCCGATTTCGAAATCCTTCATGTTCGTGAAACAATGCCTCGTCTATCTACAAGTTATAATGTTCATCTGATGTGAGTGAGCACAACGACTCCGATCGAATAAATCGAACGTAGAACAAGTAGCCCGATAACAATGCAACGAGCTTTAATAATGCGAGATGCGCATGCAGCATCCCATCACACATCTCGGAATCGCGCACCGCTAATGTTAAACGCCCATTGTTTCCGAACGCAAATGTTTATTAAGACGATCTGATATCGTATCGGTTAGGGGAGCAGACAGTCTAACGTGTGCTTTGAATGCTCTTCTACGTTCAATGCTACTCGATCGATTAGTGCCCATCGTTTACCGCAGACATGCATGCCGCTCTTGCGTCAACCTCTGCGCTAACGAATTGAGGTTTTTTTTATATTTATTGCTTAGATGAGTGGACGAACTCACAGCCCATAGACTTCTACAACGTAAATGCCGCCACTCACCTTGAGATATGAGTTCTAAGATCTCAGTATAGTTACAACAGCTTCCCGACCCGTCAAACTGAAACGCATTACTGCGTCACGGCAGAAATAGGCAGGGTGGTTGTACCTACCCATGCGGACTCACAAGATACCCAAACACCAGTAATTACGCAAATTAAAATTTTGCGGGTTTTGAATTTTGTTACGCGATGTTATTCGCTTCACCGTGGAAGTCAATCGTGAACATTTGTGAAGTACGTATCTCATTAGATAAGTTGGTACCCGCCTACGGGATTTGAGCACCGTTGCATCGCTAAATACGAATGCACCGGACGTCTTATCCTTTAGGCCACAACGACTTCAAGTCTTATACCACGTCTTATATTTACGGCCACGTCTTATAGTAACACGCGATCTATTTAAACTAATACTAATTTCCATAACGAATCATCGTCCTTCGAATTAGCTGTCTATGTGAGGCGATATCACGACCGGCGCATGCAGATCCGCCTTCTTTTCAACAAAACTGGTAACGGTCGCGTGCTCGCAACGAATTAATGAGTCGCCGCCGACGGCATGTCGCCGAAACCCGCTCATTTCGCCGACATGACGGTACTGAGTTATTGCCGAAACACGATCATTAAGGAGCTGTGCATAAGCTAATGTCGGCGGCAGCTTACACGGCACATGTCGTGTCGCTCACTAACCTATACGCGATGACTGCTCAATCGCACGTGTCTTTAGAGGTTTATTTCACAGCTGTTCTATAGCAGTTCTCTTACGCCGTTTTCTGCCCACTGAATTTCTCGCCGGATCTTCTCAGTGGGTCGCGTTTCCGATTCGGTGGTAGATTCTACGAAGCACTGCTCTTACTAGGGTTAGTGTTAGCAACGTCAGGTTTGAGCCCCGTGAGCTCACCTACTAGTTAAGGCTATGCTGAAATGGTCTTTCAAGACCATCAGCTTAGGTAGGAAAAACGACGTTTCATATTCATTTACATGCATGTTTTGGTTAACAGGGAGACCAAAAGGACAGCATAGCGCGCCGCGCGGTGGCCCACCTCGATCCTGGACAAACGCAGAGCTCACGGAGGCCCTGCAGCACGTGTGGAACAAGAAAATGACGACGAGCCAAGCTTCGAGAATATTCGGTATCCCGTACAACTCTCTGCTCATGTACGTGCGAGGCAAGTACGGGAAGAGCCTCAAACTGGAGCAGCTGCGGAAAGATTGCATTGGAGCGCCCCTAGACGTGCTCAACCTCAACTCCGGAAACAACAACAACAACCACCCTTCAAGTAAGCATCATGATAAAGACGACCACCAGAACGTGGGCCAAAGGCCGTCCAGCTCCGAGCCGGACATATCATCCAACCCGATGTTCAACCCCTTTTCCCAAGGATTCTACCCGGAATTCCCGCCAGGCTTCCCGATGCCACTGAACATGCTTCACTTACTTCCGCCCAACGAGAAGGCAAGGGAGTTGTATCAGTCGATGCCGATGGCTTTAGATTCGCTGTCCGGCACCAAGGAGGAGGACTGCAAGAGCGATCGGTCGAAGGAGAACTCTGCGGACGAGGAGGGCGACACTTACCGCGCGCCGCACCCCCCGCACCCGCCCCCTGACACTCGCACCCTCCTGCATCACAACGGTCAGGACTAACTCCCGTCGCTCGCGGCGGACGCGGCTGACGAACGAATCCACATCTCACCCGCGTATCTTTATCGAAATGTTTTCAAAAAAAAGGGACTAAAACTGGAATTTAGTTAGTGTATTTTAAAAGATCTCATGTAAATGTCGTAATTATAATGTTATAGTTTTTTTATAAATTCGTAGGAGATAAATTAATCGTTTAGTATATAGACACAACAACACGTATTAACTTCACGTGTAATTATCTACTACATCGGTGTGCTCAGTGCGAGGTTTTTAACTTCTCGATCGCGTAAAAGTTAACTCAAATTTGTATGGAGTTGGAAAAGCTTCCCTTTGTCTGCCGCTAGGGGCGCTGTTCCAACTCCATACTAATTTGAGTTAACTTTTACGTAATCGAGAAGTCAAAAACTCGCACTGAGCACACAGTACGCTGCCGCGTTGCGCTCAGACGCGGCAAGTGCGATACTTCTATGCCTGTCTGTTTAAAATGCACCGAATAGATTTCAGTTTTACGGACGATTACGTATTTTCGAACCTTCTGGATCCTCCGGGGCCCAACGGGGCTACGTCCAAACTTTATTGAGTATTAGTTAAATTTATTAAATTTAAAAGATGTGTTAATATTGTAAATGTATATTGAGTATCGCGTAAAATAATGAATAAGCGATAATTTATTCTGAAGGAGTGCAATAAGTATGAAATGTGTTGTGATTGTTACTTGTTACTTAGGACATTCCCTATTCTGTTGTACTGTTAACATTCCATTTCAACATTCCTTGTATTTAGATTAAATCGTTTTATGTTGTGTATCTTGACCAAAATCAACAAGGCCGGCCATCTTGTGAGCGAATGGCGCGAAAACACACTGGCCAGTACAAATTCTATTTTTGAATCACACGTCATGTACTATTTTATTTTTCTTATATTGTGGTTGTGGTCTTAGAAATAACCAACATAAATTTATATCCTGTGTAATATTACATTAATGTGGCTGTAGATACGTGTTAAATGTGCGGAATATCTGAATTTCACCAAAGTTTGTAAAATATTTCGTAATAATAGTTATTGTATTCGATAATTTATAAAAACAAAAAAACGATTTTTGAATGTAAATATTTTAAATGGTAAATTGATAAAGCAAAAAAAAAGTATAAACCATTAATTCGATACGGACATTCAAGTGTCTAAAATGGTATATAGTAGTGTATTTGTAATTGTTGTAGGATTTAGTCGTGAAACGGTACGTAGGTAGATCACCGGACCAAAGGTGGTCAAGATTATAAGAAAATTCTTTTATTCTACACTTAAGTAAAACTAAGCTAAAACTACGTACTTAAAGTTTTAGGGGATGCAGACTACGAACTCGATACGCACTCGTTTACAAAAATACATATTAAATTGAAAATCAACAATAGACTTAACAACAAATGCCAACACCGACTAAAGAATTTGTTTAGAGAAACCGTAAATGAAGACGTCCTTGTCCAATTAGTACAAAAAAAAAAAAAAAACAAGATGACAACTTTCATATATATCGTACAAATTGGCCAACATTAAAATATCAAAACAAAGAAACAGTGCGCGCCAGGCGAAGACAAATAAACGTATATCGGCACTTCAATGTTCAAATAAAAAAGAGCTTTCAAGATTTTAGTGAATAATGAACGTTAGATTAAATAACAAGGTTCAACCCAGGCCTGGCTTTAGATAATTGTATACTATTACATTTAGAAATTATATATTTACTAAAGGCAACAACTTTAATATGTCGTTTTTGACATTCACCTCGACGGATTGATCGGACAATGATCTCAAACGTTAAAAAAATTAATCGAATGTTAAAGCGGCACTTCATTTCGAGAGACTTAAGCGAATAGTGATAATTCCGCATTTGGTCAAACGTCTGATGTGTTGGTAAACATCATCCAATAACCATCCGTTGAACGGAACCAAGAAAAAAAATCTTTTTGAACCTCATCGGCTCCATTATACCCGATTAACGAGACAAACAAACCAGAAACTATTTTTGCTATTTGCGTGTTTAGATACAGATAGAATTTGTTATGTCCCCTAAATGAAGTGCCGCCTTTAAGCGCAGAATATTAATATCTTGCCTTTAGTTCAATTAGAAACCAATTCTGTTCTAATTTTTAAAAATTAAGTATGTACAAAAAATCTGTTGATAGTTCTCATTTGAAAACGTATTTTCCCTATTAAATTAATTGTTACGCGTGTAATATCAAATAAGTTTGTACCAACATGGATCTCCGCGAATGAATCATTGATTTATTAAATTATCAAAAGTTAAATGTCTCAGTCACCAACCTTAAGTTTTAATATGACTCAAATATTACCTAATCAATAACCATCTTCATTGAACCCACCTGAATAAAGCTTTTTTTACTGGTGGTAGAACGTACTGTGTACCCGCACGGGTTGATACCACGATCTAGCTACTTCTGCTGCGAAGCATTCTTGCGTTCTGATTTGAAGAATAGCACAGCTGTTCTACTTACTTAGATCTCATGTCTTAGATGGCGATCATGACGCTTTGTACTATCGCTACAACATATTGGGAATAAATGTATTTAAAACTAGCTCCCGATTCCCAGGTTGGGTGACCGCGTTTAACTTCATCTACTAAATATCCATAATTATCTTGACAGAAGACTGATCACTATTTATGAGTCTATTTTATACAAAAAAAAAAACTTGTACACTACATTTTAGAATGACAGTAATTGGCTTCAATCGATCACACTACTTATAGTCGCATCACTCTTACAATATTATCATTACAGGGATTTTATATGTAAATTAACATTGTATTATTGAATATTTAATGACCTTTACGTTTTTTATTTGTTTATGATATTACGTTTACTTTCTTCTTGCACGTGAGCGATGCTTTTTACAGTAAATTTGGAAATTGTAATGGACGAAATTAGCATTAAATTGTTACTTGTGCCAAAATAAGGAATGCGCACTATTTAGAAAATGGGATCGTAAAACTGTTTCCCCGTTTATGTATTTGATTTTTGTGAATTCATCTTGTTTTTAGTTTTTGAATGAGTTTGTATGTCCATGATTCGCGGGATTATTATACTGATTGATTGGGCTAATAAGTTATCTTTTAAAATTATCGTTTCTTTGTATTCGACTCGTTGTCGTGTTGTGTGTCGATTATTAATATAATTTAAACCTAATTCGTACAAATAGAAGCAGTATTAGAGTGATTTTGTTAAAGTTTTATCCAGAAGTTTTTAATTAAGTTTTGTTACTTGTTGGTAATTTTTAAAAACAAATAACTTGTATTCTAATGTTTTACCGAAGATTTGTTCATTATGAGAATTATTTTACACATTCCAACAATATAGTTCAGCGGCTAGTAACGAACGTCTCTAAAACAAATTTATGATTTCATTTTTAATCTACAGAAATTTAAACAGAATTTATCAGGAGCCAAATGTATGTACTTATAAAAATAGTATTTAATAAATCGTAAGACATTGAATAAAGTAATTATTTTAGTTGATAAAAATGTGATTAAAACGTTTTAATAGTTTCAAATATTTAGTTCCTTCATTTTTGTTGTGGATATTTATAGTAATTGTAATATGTAATTAATTTTAAAATAGATAAATTGTTCATTGCGGTAAAGAGTATAATTAAACGTAAGTTATGTAATTTAATTTGTTGTATTTTCCTTAATAATGTAATAATGACAGAAGATATCGTTATGACAATTTAGTATGTAAAAAAGATTATCTATTTGATCTTAAAATAATATGAAGAAATATTTATGTTCTAGTATCATTCTATCGTGTAATTAAAATGATGAAGCGATGTAGTGAAATTCGTTTACGATCAGCGACGTAAAATGTAAAATAAAATTATGGAATACCATGATCATGTTTTATTGTATAGTTTTTTATCAATTTCTCATTTCAATAAAATACGAACTGCCCAAAATATCCTTGCACAAAATCAATAGATAGTCACCCCCTATTGTTTTACCGCCATTTGTTTGTCCTTATCTCATGCTAAATGTGTCATATAACGACAGAGATCGTTCATGAAACTAGAAAAAACTACCGCTCAATACGAAAGGAAAACAATATTCAGTTGCTAATTGAAACATTAATACATATTTGCAATATTTAGTCACATTTCGGGGAATTGTATTGGAATGCGAAGGCGGTAACGAGCCCATCCCGTTCCTTCGAGACCGTAGATTCAACGTCAACCAGACGTTACATTACGTTCATAATGATAACGAACATAACACTTTGTTCTCGTCAGAAATTCTCAGTTGGCCATTCCGGACTGATGGTAAATATTTTTATTTTTTATTGCTTAGATGGGTGGCTGAGCTCACGACCCACCTGGTGTTAAGTAGTTACCGGAGCCCATAGACATTTACAACGTAAATGCCGCCACCCACCTTGAGACATGTTGTAAGGTCTCACTTTAAACAATATACAACGGCTGCCCAGCCATTCAAACCGAAACTCACTACTGCTTCACGGTAGAAATAGGCGGGGTGGTAGTTTCTACCCGTGCGTACTTTTTTATTTTTTATTTATTGAATAGATGGTTGGACGAGCTCACAGCCCATCTGTTGTTAAGTGGCTACTGGAGCCCATAGACATCTACAACGTAAATGCGCCACCCACCTTGAGATATAAGTTCTAAGATCTCGGTATAGTTACAACGGCTACCCCACCCTTCAAACCGAAACGCATTACTGCTTCACGGTAGAAATAGGCAGGGTGGTGGTACCTACCCGTGCGGACTCACAAGAGGTCCTACCACCAGTAATTACGCAAATTAAAAATTTTCGGGTTTTTTATTACACGATTTTATTCCTTCATCGTGGAAGTCAATCGTGAACATTTGTCAAGTACGTATTTCATTAGAAAAATTGGTACCTGCCTGCGGGATTCGAACACCGGTGCATCACTCAACACGAATGCACTGGACGTCTTATCCTTTAGGCCACGACGACGACTCAAGACGTAATTTACTAATTTAATTTAATTTATAATCTAGTAATTACGCAAACTATAGTTTTGCTTTTTAATTACACGATGTTATTCCTTCACTGTGGAAGTCAATCGTGAACATTTGTTAAGTACGTATTTCATTGGATAAATTAGTGCAATTAAATAATTAATTATTATTAAATGTACCAGACGTCTTATCCTTTAAGCCACGACGACTTGAAAGATTTTGCGAAACACTGCTCTTACTAGTATTAGCAAATTCTCACAGGTTGAACCCGTGAGCTCTTTTCGATAAAGCCTGTGTAACCCTTGCGGTTACCATCAGTAGGTAGGCAAATATATCTAAGCAAACCAGTCGGCCAGAGGTTATTTTTACATTTTCGCCGCGACATCCCTAACTGAAAAGGAAATTAAATAAAACACTCTTCTGTATTATCACATGTAATGATACCCATTTTATTTTCACGTTTATAACTGATTTATTACAGATATACAAAAAAAAGCCGATTACAAATTCAACGGTGGATCATGTGAGCTTACACATAAATATATACCGAACACTACATATTGAGCAAATGCAAACAGATTAGTTTCGGCCAGACATTTTTTAGGTAACTATTCTCTATTGATTTAACAGTGGCACGAGTCAACTGTTGGCTTGTATTGACAGACATATCGATCCGTATACGTTTTGTGTGAATTTAAAAATATGACCTTACTCTAGCTGCGACCTTCATTTGATACGACAATAAATATGCAACTGCAATTATTTAAAAAAGAATTATTTATTTTAGGTATTTAAACAAGAAAAGAAAACATAGGTATATTTTTGCTCATAAAAAGGTTCACATGCTTCCTCCTTGGTAATGACACTAGAGCAAATATACTATAAATTTATACCATACGACTTATATTTACGGCTGCTTTTTTTTTCATAAAATAAATTTCGCCGTGGCACAAAACTGTTAAGATAATATATTTTAATCCAAATCAGCCAAATAGAATATCTACACCGAAAACACAGAGCACACAGCAAAAGTGTTGCCATCGGTAAAAAGAGCCACACGAGCCGCACACAATTTTATGGCAATTCAAACTTGTGCCTCTTTTAACTTTCTATGCTATGACTTTATATCAAAAAAAATTTTTATTTGAAATCTTTTTATGAGTTTACTTTTAATTAATCATATAACTACTCATCAATGCGTATAATACTATTTAATACAATCAAAACATGGAACAAATAGTTAATTGATGTTTAATATTTTATTATTTCAATGAAAATTTATTCAAAATCAATTTTATTTTATACTAAAATCTAGTAAAACCATACATAGAAATAAATTAATAAAAAAATCCCTTTAAATAGGAACGAATAATTGAAAAAAATTTGAATGAAAAAGACGCCACATTTAGGATGTTTTTTTTTTAAATCTACATTACAAATCAGTAAGTACCGTGTCCAACATTCAATTTCAATAATATAGGTTTTATGAAAGTCATAGAAAGAGCGAAGTCAGTAGTAGGGATCAATTTCGAAAACAAAGCCAAGTGACAAAGCCATTGACTCAAAAAATTTGACGCGCAATGTAACACAATAACGATTCATAATACATTACGGGTTCGTTAAATTTGAAATTGTTTAACGTTTTAATACAATTGGCCTTGCTTAGTAAATGTACATGTGTTTCCAGTGCACGTTCCTACAGTAAGTTAATTCCTGTTATAGCTACGGTAATAGTCTCTGTACACCCTGTGTAAATGTGCACTGTGTAATCAAACAGCTAAATTAGAACTAATACTATTTGTATTAAGGTACAAAACGTATGTAACAATTAAAAATAAAAACGGACGTCCCTAATAGTTATTTTAACATTTTCCTATGGCAGTTATTTGTATTCAGTTCAAAAATTACATTATACAATCGTATCGATTTAAGTTTTTTTTTTTTTTTTTTCAATATTAAACAACATTCCAATAAATACGCTCACACCGATTACATATATCTCACATTAAATACACATTTATTTAAACATTATCACAATGACATTGCTTCGTCTAAATTATTTAAAAAAAACAATCTTCCTTACGGCAGTGTTTCACTGACCTTTGTATATAATTCGAGTCAGTAATAATTTATTGTCCGGGTACCAATACCCCAAAACTTGTAAACTTTGTACTTAGTTAGACTTAGACTTTGTAGAAGTTTGTATAGATTTTGTTTAATGTTGGCACTACTCCAACAGAGATTTTGTTACAGGAACATTAGTAGCGGCCGAGTCAAGGAATGGGTTTATTTAGTTGATATGGTAAAATAGTCACGCTGAAGTCCGAATTCACCATAAAGAATCACATACATTTCGTAGTTTTCATTACCCGATACCCGCTAAATATTTGCTACGAATATTTTCAAACGAAACAATATCATTGTCGACATGAAAATTCGAGTCCGATACCTTAACATCGAGAAATGTCAATAATTTATTATAATAATAATTAAAAATAAAACTTATTCGATAAAGTTAGTACTAACTAGAAACTAGAAGCAGAATTAAATTTATAGAACAAGCTTATTTGGTATGTTACTTTTTATTTTTTTATTCGGTAATCAAACCTAAAAAGCCAAATTGTATTACTTTTATTGTAATTAATACTTTTTAATTAATTTTATTATAATTAACACTTTTTAATTACTTTTATTGGTAACACAGGAGATAATTTGTACGGACACGGAGCGAATACATAATGTTATTTACAGTTTTTTCATTTCTCTCTCATCTACTTATCACAGACCAGTGGGCATAAAACTTTTATATTAACCTAACCTAGATTTCTTTTTGAAATGTCACTTACATTGAGTAAATACTAATATTGGTCGAGACTCTAGTTGCGGAAAAACTTTAAGCTAACAAACTTCCATGCTATTTTATGTAGGTGGACAGGCAAGATGGTACGTACCTATGCGAGCCCATAAATTGCTCTATATCGGCAATTATATGTTTAATATAAATTAATCTATTACAATTTACAAATTTTGAAATAATTTGTTAAATACAATAACAAATATGTGTAAACCTATTCGATTTTAAATTTCCAAATAAAAACTTTGTAATTCAAACATTATTCGCATAAAGACATTTGACATTAAAGAAAAAACGAATAGATTTTATTCAACGTCAAATAAAAAGGGGGTCCTGCATTCGAAGTTCATGTTTTATTTAACCATTCACAATTCTTTTTGATGATTGTCGTTACACTAATATCTTACTAATTTATTTTGTGTATATAAATTATTTTTCTGGTTTGTAATTGTCTACCATAAATTTATTTTGTAATAAAAAAGTGTATGATACATACCTAATTAATTAGTTGTTGGTTTAAATTATATTATTTTCGTTTAATAATATTTCATCAATGTAAGCAACAAAATATTACCTGTAATTATTGTATTTGGCTCTTTAGGAATGCAAAACATTTTTTCCTCATTAAAAAATGAACGGTTTAGTAAAAATAAATTTCAATTATTTACAAATCCTTCGGCAACAATTCGATTTAGTACCCCGGACGTTGTCACGTAGAAACTAACCAGTAATCAAGAAACGTATGAGTTAAAAAAAATTATTACATAAAAAAACTTATTGTTGGTTACAAAATCTAGTATAACTTAAAGCAGAGACATATATGTTACTAAAATTTAGGTTTAGATAAAATTTAATAAATTGTTCTTTTCTGCGTGACATTAGCTAGTCAAAAACCTTAATCTATCCTACAATCGACATCAATTTTTCGTACATTTTCATTCAACAATACAACCTCAATTTTTTTTTTTTTATTAAAATGTATTTCAAAGACCGGAATGTTCATTCCAAAACCAATCATTAATACTTCTCCGTAACTTTGAAATTATTGTAATTTAGTCTTTTTTTTTGTATCTGGCAACAATTAGAACACCAACTTATCGCTAGATGGCAGCACAAACAAAATATTTTATTTCTATATTTGATTCTCAGCAAAAAAATTTGCCTCTAAAACTAATTTGTCTTGTTTTAAGGGGTTTTGAGGATTATTAATTTTATTACTACCGCCAGCATTGCTGTCGACAGTCCAGCCTAACGAACAACACTAAGCAGAGTAATTAATGCTTAAAAAGAAAACTCTGGCCCTCTCAATTATAATAATCTCAGATTACCGAAATTCCATCATTCAATTTGAATTTACGAATCTGGCTATATGACCTTCGAACAAAACCCGGACGACAAACAGAAACCGACCGTTTTCAGTTGAACTAATTCAAATTCAACAAACTTTTTCGAGTAGCTGCACGTACCTAGCGATGACTTTATTCATTTCTTGCGGTAGTTTAGTTCTGTCGTATTTGTTTGAATATTCTCGTACAATCTTGGTCAGTTGCGAGTGCAAGTCCAGCAAGGCGCTCAGTCCGATATACCTCAGGGCCTTCGCGTTCATAAATACAACATTTTTTAATTCAGTCTTATTGATCAGTACTTTCTCTGCATCTGAAATTTTAAATTAAAACAAAAAATCATTACCTTTTAAACAGTAATGTCTAAATTATATTATATTTCGAATTTATATTATTATTTATGCTTTTCATAGAGATGCAAACTATAAAATAAGCTGTAGTAACTACTTGATATCATATCTTATTAGAGCTCTGAGATCTGTAAAACCGAACTCATATCTCAAGGTGGGTGTTGGCATTAACGCTTTTTTTGTCTATAGGCTCCAGTAAACACTTAACTCCAGGTTGACCGTAAGCAATAAAAAAGATTAACTATCTACTTTAATTGCATAACGTCTGTCCCAACTTTTCAAATGGAAACTATGACCGTTATAGAAATAAAAGTTTATTTATTTATTTATTGCTTAGATGGTTGGACGAGCTCACGGCCCACCTGATGTTAAGTGGTTACCGAAGCCCATAGACATCTATCTACAACGTAAATAGCGCCACCCACCTTAAGACATGAGTTGTAAGGTCTCACTTTTAACAGTACAATGGCTGCTCTACCCTTCAAACCTTACTGCTTCACGGCAGAAATAGGCTGAGTGGTGGTACCTACTGACAGCGAACTCACTAGACACTCTACCCCACTTATATGGTACAATCCGACATATCGAATACAGTAAAGAATAGATGATAAAAAAAATATTTGATTAAACCAAGCATTTGTTGTCTATTGCACTCTTTTAATGGTGTCCATAGCTCGTGTCAACTTTCATTGTTAATTAGGATATTCACCTCCACTCGCGGCCTCGGTTCCCGAATTTCTTTTCTTTGGTGATGTTTTAGTCGAAGGTTTCTCTGTTGACTTTGTTGGACTATAACAAAAAACATTGGTAATTATTAAGAATCTATCGTTGTAGTTCAACTCGACGTCAGACGATTATAGCTTTTATAGCTACTATAGCTCAAGAGATTTGATTAATTGTTATGCAAGACATTTTTGAGAGCTGCGACACTATCCCTTGCAGTTCGGTGCAGATTTTGGCATCACACTTTCAAATTATCAGTACTTTGTCTTCTTGAGAAATTAAACAGAAAGGTTTGATATCCACTGCCTATTTCTGCCGCGAAACACTCACGTGTTCCGGTTGGAGACTAAGACCCCGTGTCACACGATGGGAAACCATCAGCTGTGCGCCCGTCAGCAAGAAAAATAAAATATAGTTAATGATTAATTGAATGATTCAGTGGTGTACTCGTCGAACTCGGCAAAGAGTTCGAAGTGGAACCTAACCAATACAACAACCCGCTGAGTTTCTCGACGGATCTTCTCAGCGGGGCGCGATTTCGATTCGGTAGTAGATTCATTCACAATGCTGCCCTTGAGTTATTAGGTCTCCTTCGGAGGCGCTCGGGTAGCTGTTAGCAAATGCCACCCCTCCTGGCTGAGCCTTTGCTCGCCTGTCCTAGTGAAACTGGAAAGACCTCCGGACCACCAGTAATATCTTATCTTATACCTTTAAATAAGCAATTCTTGTATATATATAATCCGAATCTCGGAAACGGCTCTAACGATTTTTATAAAATTTAGTATACAGGGGATTTCGGGGGCGATAAATCGATCTAGTTACGATTTATTTTCAGAAAATGATGTTTTATTCGTTTTTTCAATAATCAGTTTTATCGATAATCAACTTTATGACTCTTCCCGACATGTATTGGCGAATAGTAATACTATTTTTCATAATTGAGAGCTACTAACCGCTTTAAAGCTATTTCAGCCGATGGCGCTGCTAAGCTACCCGAAGCCAATGAGTGTTTGGTTTAAGATAAGACCAAGACAATGAATTGTTTATTTATATTATTTGTGTCTTTTTAACTCACGAGTTCACTTAAAAATGCCTACACGATCTTGGAATATTTCATCATTTTATCAATATGTAATTCGTATTTAAATATAATTACTAAAAAACACTATTAATAAAAAGATAATCGTCATCGTCATCGGTCATCGTCTAGTTACTATTAAAACAAACGTGTGATACCTCTCGATAACGTGGTTGTGTCGCACGGTGATGTTGCACATGGTGTCGGTGTCGTGACGGGGCCGGCGCAGCGGGACGTCGTCGTCGGAGCCGGAGCTGGAGGAGGAGGGGGAGGGGGAGCCGTTCGGGAGCGGCGTCGACGTCACCGGCTTGTTCTCTTTGCACTCCTCATCCGTGACGCCCAGCACGCTTTGGTCCTTTAAACTCTGTGAACACTAGAGAATGGCAAATCTATATACTAATATATAAATCTACTAGGAGTGGGTGATATAAATCGTATATAGATTCAATATCTATATATCGCAGCAATATTGTTAAATCCGATATCGCCCCGCACGAAATCTATATATCGATATCAGCCGATACACGATATTGCTCGATGTGATGCGCATCGCCATATCGTACCGATTCGTGAATCGAAATCTATATTTCGATATCAGCCGATACACGATATTGCTCGATGTGATGCGCATCGGCATATCGTACCGACTCGTTAATATCAGCAATATTCGTTTGGTTCGTATCGAATCGGCCAGAGTGAGTGAGCGCACGATAGAGATATCATGTGATGAATGAAACAGAAACAGGCATTATCCATACAATTGTAAACCTTATATTTAAGTCCATATGTCTGTAGATTATTCTTAGCGTATCAGCAGGATACAATTAAGGAAAGAAGTTTCAACTTTCGACCCTAACTTGAATGCAGTATAGCCTATTTACATCGTTGAATTTAATTTCACGCGCTTTGACCTTGAACTAGAATTTTTGGACAAGTGTTTATAAATACTTAAAAGTTTTTTGTTTGATTTTTAAAGTACACATTTTTCTATTTTTAGTTGAATCCAAATAATTGAGTTTATTTCTTGTGTTTGTATTAAACTTTTGAAATATACACTCTTTTGGTATATTTTGTAATTTTAAATTAAGACACAAAATACTAAAAACTGAAAATAATGTAGCCAGTCCTAAGCCTGGTAAAAGCATGAAGGAAAGTTTTTNTGAATCCAAATAATTGAGTTTATTTCTTGTGTTTGTATTAAACTTTTGAAATATACACTCTTTTGGTATATTTTGTAATTTTAAATTAAGACACAAAATACTAAAAACTGAAAATAATGTAGCCAGTCCTAAGCCTGGTAAAAGCATGAAGGAAAGTTTTTTTGATATTTTTATTTTCATGTTCTTTTTATTACTTTAAGATCATATTATAAATTGATATCAGAAAACCAACCGTATAACGTTGACTAAAATCTATATCTACTACGATATTATATCAGCGTATCGTTTCAAATCTCAAATATCATGAATCGAGAAAATCTACTAGCATCCATCAATATATAGATTTAGAAAATATATAGATTCAATATCCGATATTGATCCTCGATATATAGATACGATTCGATACGCGGCAAAACCGATATTACCCACTCCTAAAATCTACAGTGGTTTAGACGGATGCTTCGTTATAACTACTGAACCATGCATCCGATTGACTTGAAACTTGGTATCCATGTAGAAAATACATGTACTTAATGAATAGGCTAATATTTATACGAGTGTTGGACTCCCTACACCAGTTGCGGGGGCGTTAATAATGATAATCTTAGTGGAGGTGAGAAATAATAATGTTAATTTTAAATGCCCAGCGAAGCGGACGGATACAGCTAATTATGTTATATTATTTTAAAAATTTTGAAGTACAGTTTAATCGAATGTTTTTTTTATTGCTTTTGTAGACAGACGAGCATACGGCCCACCTGATGGTAAGTGATTACCGTTGCTCATGAACGTCAGCAATTGAATGGCAGAGCCGAACCGCTGCCTACCATTGGGTACTCTCCGCAAGCCTCGTTTGAAGGACAATTGTAATTAAAAACGACTATCATCTCGTGAAATTCAATTATCAACATTGGGCTTAACTTCACTATTATTACCACATTTGAATAGCTTTCCAAGATCATCTGTGATCACAGAACAATCGCCCTTTTAACTATGCGTAGATGAATCTGCTCGTGATTTTTGCAGTTTACAAATGATCTCACAACTCATATCGCGATCAGCGATAATATAAACACTTTGAATACTGCCCATCTTGAAACTTAAGATCGAAGTCTCGGAAATACCCCAGCCTTCAGATGAGAACGCATGATTGCTTCGCGGCAGTAATAGGCAGGGCGACGGTAATAAGACATAATATATAAAAGTGAATTGCTGTTCGTTAGTCTCGCTAAAACTCGAAAACGGCTGGACCGATTTGGCTAATTTTGGTCTTGAATTATTTGTGGAAATCCAGAGGTTTAAAAGGTAGATAAATATGAAAATGCTCTGAATTAAATAAAAATAACAATTTTGTTTTTCCTTTGATGTGTCCTTCCGTCGGACAGATTCCTTTTGTTTGTTTTAAGTTTATTTTACACAAAAGCTTAGGTCTTCTATTTATCGACTGAGGCACTACGAAGTCTGCCGGGTCAGCTAGTACGTAATAAATTTCGAACATATCATTTTGCCTTATCGTACATGGAAGAAAGCGACATAGTTTTTTTTTCTCATTACCTTCTGCGTCTTCGGTCTTTTAGCCACCAAACCTTTAGACCACGCGTTCATGCGTCTGCGTTTACGTTTCGCCGAGTGCGCTTCCTTGTCTCCATTCTGAGGAGTACGCGGTGATTTACTGTCGTCATTGTTGAGCAGCGAATCCAAGCCTTGTGCTATTATAACAAAAATAAAGAGTCGAATTTTACAAAAACGCAAGCAACACCAAACGTTACTTATTGCGATGACAATTGCCTGTACAACAAAATCCCACAAGATGTTCAGAACCTACATATACATAGGTTTAAGAAAACTATTAAAGAACATCTGTGCAATAAAGCTTACTATAAAGTCAATGATTATCTAGAAGATTGCACAAAGTGGGAATGAGTTGCTCGCTCCGGGCATTTCAATATTGTAATAATTGTTATGTTATCATTACTTCTTGTAAAAATGAATATATATTTAAAAAAATTTAATATTAAAAAAAAAACAAATATTTAAAAAAAAAAAAAAAAAAGACGTGCCCTCTGAGTTTCTTGCCAATTCTTCTCAGGACGGAGGCTAATTCTTGTGAATTGGCGGTAGTTCTTTTGACGTTCAACAAGTATGTACTTTCATTTATGTTGAATAAAACTTTTTTGATTTGATTTGATTTGATGACGTCACAAGTGGCTAGGTAATTGTATAGAAGAATAAAAAATGAGAACTCGCTAAGTTTATTTCATCGGTTCTTCCGACGGTTGTAGCTCTTTTAAAGGCCGCTAGTAATATAATATACTGTCGTTCAATAAGTAAATAACATGAGATCAAACTTCAAAGCGAAATCTATACCTAGTCAGGTCATAAGTATTGTCACACAGTAAAAACTTTTCTTTTAGAATGCTGGCCACAAAAAAGTTTATTGAATTCGAATTTCGAATTGTTCATGAAAATAAAAAAGGTATACTTTTAGAATTTTACTCATTTTTAAATATGGAGTGGACGCTTAAAGAAGACCGTGTTGCAGTTATTGCGTTGCATCGTTGCGGTTACGCGCCAATTCAAATTTTTAACATACTGAAAAATTTGAATATAACCAAAAGATTCGTTTATCGTACCATCAAACGATACAATGAAGACTCTAGTGTAGATGACAGGTCAAGAAGTGGTCGCCCTCGGTCTGTTAGGACTCCAGCAGTGATAAAAGCTGTGAAGGCGCGAATTCAAAGAAATCCCAAACGTAAGCAGAAACTGTTGGCCCTTCAGATGGGGTTAAGCAGAACCACGGTGAAAAGGGTGTTAAATGAAGACTTAGGGCTTCGGGCATATCGAAGAAAAACAGGACATCGTTTGAATGCTCGTCTAATGGACCTGAGACTGAAGAGATGCCGCGCTTTGTTGAAGCGGTACGCGGGAAAAAAATATCGGGAAATTCTTTTTTCGGATGAAAAAATTTTTACCGTAGAAGAGAGCTACAACAAACAAAATGATAAGGTGTACGCACACAGTAGTGAAGAAGCGAGCAACCGTATTCCGCGTGTCCAACGAGGTCATTTTCCATCCTCGCTCATGGTATGGTTGGGAGTTTCTTATTGGGGCTTAACAGAGGTACATTTTTGTGAGAAAGGTGTAAAAACGAATGCAGTTGTGTATCAAAATACAGTCCTGACGAACCTTGTGGAACCTGTTTCTCATACCATGTTCAATAACAGGCACTGGGTATTCCAACAAGATTCGGCGCCAGCTCATAGAGCGAAGAGCACACAAGACTGGCTGGCGGCGCGTGAAATCGACTTCATCCGGCACGAAGACTGGCCCTCCTCCAGTCCAGATTTGAATCCGTTAGATTACAAGATATGGCAACACTTGGAGGAAAAGGCGTGCTCAAAGCCTCATCCCAATTTGGAGTCACTCAAGACATCCTTGATTAAGGCAGCCGCCGATATTGACATGGACCTCGTTCGTGCTGCGATAGACGACTGGCCGCGCAGATTGAAGGCCTGTATTCAAAATCACGGAGGTCATTTTGAATAAACTTTAATAAGAATCTATGTTTTGTTGAGTTCATTTTGGTATATGAATGGTTACATAATGAATAAACTTGTTTCAATTATTTTACATTAAACGTGTGACAGAATTTATGACCTGACTAGGTATATTAATACGTGAAGCAAAATTTTCGTATCCCTTTTTACCAAATTTGCGCGGACGGAGGAGTATGAAATTTTCCACACTTATAGAGAATATAGAGAAGAAGTGCACAATGCCAATTTTTTTTTTAAATAATGCATAAAAGATACATTAAATCAATAAAGAAAATATTACACACACTACATACCATGTATTTGACGCACACATGTATGCATACTATTTATTGTCAAACTTTTGTTCTTGACGTCTGTTGTCAAATTGAGAATAGATTAAATATTGTTTGTCTTTGTTAATATTTTTTATGGTGTAGTCTTGGCGAAATTTGTGATTAAAGAAGTATAAAATACAATCATAATAGTGTACAAACTTACAGTTCCAATTAATTAGTCGAATTTCGACTACTGCGAGACCTCTAGTTAATTGAATTTGATCACTGATACACAATTTTATAATTTCTTCAACGGCATTAAATATCATTTTACCGGTGGTAGGACCTCTTGTGAGTCCGCACGAGTAGATACCACCGCTCTGCCTATTTCTGCCGTGAAGCAGTAATGCGTTTCGGTTTGTAGGGTGGGGCAGCCGTTTTATCTATACTGAGACCTTAGAACTTATATCTCAAGGTGGATGGCGGCATTTACGTTTTAAATGTCTATGGGCTCCAGTAACCACTTAACACCAGATGGGCTGTGAGGTCGTCCACCCATCTAAGCAATAAATATATATATCAAAGATCTTACGTAGATTCGAAGCGGTGTATATAAAGTCGGGCAGGTCCTCGGCCTCGTTCCCCTCGTCGCGGCGTCGCTTCGCAATCTCCTGGCACTCCAGCTCGAAGTCGCTGTCCATCTCCACGTCGATGAGCGCGTGCGCGTGGTCCCGCAGCGAGCACGCCTCGTGACGGATCTGCTTGTCGGACGACGTTCTATCGTGGACAACAACACAGCATCACAAACGGCCATCTGGTGCAGTGGAAGTAACACGGTCACTACACAAGGGGGTCGCGGGTTCGAATCCCGCCAACCGAAGATATTTGTATGATAATATATAAAATGCCTTTTCCAGGGTTATGGATGTATATAATAAAAAAGGGTGCGTGTACTTATATATTATGTACGCGCGTAAGAAGTTATACTTTATTTTTATTAAAATTACTTCTTTTTTTTAAATATTAAATAATTAATAATAAATATTTAACGTTAATAATTTAATAATATTTGGTATGAATTATATTAAATAATAATTTTGTCATTTATATTACTAAAAAATGAATGCTAATAACACTTTTTTTTACGAGTGTACATGCGCGAAAGTTCACCTGCGGCTATATTCAGACTCGCCAAGTTACGTCGGTCGTATTGTATGTAATGAGCTATTTAGTGGGCAACTTCATTCTGTTAATTTTGTGTCAAGGTGCGCGCGCATCGTAAAATTTCACTCTCATCAATTTTTCATAACGCGCCTAAAGAAGTATACCTTAAAAAATCTTACATTTTTTTCCGTTATCTGGTACCTGTAACACAAGTTCTTTACGAGCTTAGCACGGGACCAGTTAACGTGGCGCGATTGTTAATAAATATTTAATATTTATTAATATTTATATTTATCACAACGCTGAAAAGACAGCAGATATGGTGACATATTTCATTTCAGATTTTACTACCCATTTTTAATATACACCTAAGACAATATTTTAGTGACAGATTAATTTAGAGGCACAATGTTTTTATTAAGCTATAATTACTTAGAAATAATAATTAAGCTAAAGCATTACCTATTAATACTACTAAAGAAATTGCTACTTTTTGTTGAAATTTAATAAAAGCAAGATGACAGAGTTTTTAATGATCTCGTGCATGCAATAAAAAGCCAAATAATATAATCGTAAAACAAACTCTAACATACAAAAGGTCAGAGGATGTTAGTTTACAAAAAAACGACTTATATACGCAATGTTATTATACGATTTAACAATTGAATTTTCATACCTAGACATCCCTCTAGCCCTTTGAAAGGCACTCCAGGTATAATGAAAAAGAAATACGCACAGGTTAAAGAAAATAAAATGTAATGAAAAAAAAAAAACGTTAAATGTATGGTCATTAGACTGGGGGAGTAGAAAACGAAAAACATGTTAATAGCTAGATCACAAGCATGTGACACACAGCCAGCCAAGAAACGATAGTTAAAATCATATAAAATCATAGTGAAGTGTGAAATGTGTCATAGAAACTGGGATTAGAAATGTTTTCGTGACATTGATTTTAATTATTATTATTATTATATATTTATTATTATTGGTGCAAAGTCAAATATGCAAACATTTTTTTTTTTTGGACAAACTCACGGCCCTGTTGTTGTTAAATGATTAGCGAAGTCCATAGAGATTAACAGCGTCTACCTTGCGATATGAGTTACAAGTCTCCGTTTTTACAGTACAACCGTGGTCCACCCTTCAAACCGCAACGCATTACTGCTTCATAGCAAATAGACTTTGGCTATAGTCCCCATCCGTGTCCTTAGTACGAGCTTTTAAGGTTCTCGATAGCGTGAAAGTTAACTCAAATTTGAATGCAGTTGGAACAGCGCCCCTAGCGGCAACCGTAGGCAAACGTTCCAACTCCATACAAATTTGTGTTAACTTTCACGCTATCGAGAACGTTAAAAAACTCGCACTAAGCACACCGTACGGATTCACATGACGCCCTACCACCAGTAAGTTAGGAGCAAAATTGTGAACTTACCTATCAGGGTTGTACTCCAAGGCGTTCGCGCATATCAAATCGATGTCATCGAGGAATTCCTTGGCACAGTTATATTTGTGCAGGTCGACCTTGGTCATCATCGTCTCTAGGTCCATGGGTTGCTTAATGATGTGTAAATAGTCTGTTACCTGATCAAAACCATAATCCGATGTACTATATATTTTGAAAGGATTACATACAGGTTATTTTCATATATAAAAATTGCAATCCGAACATATGAACTCAATATCCCACAATGATTTCACAAGCAGAACTGTTTTTGACGCTTTTCTACGATTGGAATCATATTAGCAGATTTATTATTGTATTCTAAAAAGTTAAATGTATCTGAAAAATCCGACCTGAATTTTTAATCATAGAGTTTAATGTCTAATGTACCTCTTCCAAATCAACGGGCTTAGTGAACTTGTAAAAGCGTCTGTTCGAAGCGAGCTTCCTGCATATGTCGCGCAGGAATATCCTCAGCTCCCGCAACTTGTAGTCCTCCTTGCGTTTTCGCCGCGACACCTCTTCTTCGCTTTCACGTGGAGGGGGAGGGGGAGGTGCTGTCAAAAAAACGAAAAAATTACAGATCAGGAAATATTTATCATTTACATTTATTTGTTATTTATTACGGGTATATTCATATTTTATATTAGATATATAAAGGAAATTGGTAACATAATTAAGTTTGAAAATAATGCGCGTGCAACTTTTTTTGCGGTGTGTAGTATAGTGATTTTCTTCATTTTTCATCCTTAAATCAAATTTCTCCTGTAATAGGGAATGCTGTGTATAAGAAAAACGATCTAGCTCGCTTTGTCCTTTCCCTCTGTCTACAGTCGAGTGATTCGCGAGACGCTCTGTCTATTTTCTCACTCTCGCTCATCCTAAATTGTATCTTTTCTCTCTAGTCGTAACGAATCTGTCGCGAGTTAAATTTTATTTGAAGAAGTTTCACTTCAATAAACGAAATTCACATTACATTCAAAAAATTCTTATTGTTTTAATTTTAAAATTTTATAAAAAACGAAACCGCAAGCTATGTAGCCTTCTGTAAGTTATATATTTTCCTCTTGCAGGCTAAATCCTATGTCATTTTCAGTGTCGATTTTTCTATTGCTTATCTAAGCAAGGTATCAGGTATCTACCTGAACGAGCTCACGGCCCATCTGGCGTTAAGCAGTTACCAGAGCCGTAGCAGCAACAACGTAAATGCCCCGCCACCTATCTTGAGACATGAGTTCTACGTTTCAGTTTTATAGTCGCTTTTTAATTCAATTGAGTCAATCATTACAACGGCACTAAAGAGTGCTTCAATATAGCTATTGTCTGACAAATTGACGAAACAAACTTACCTCTAGGCAATGGAGGTGGCGGCTCATTGTTTTCGATCGGAGGTGGATCTAACAGCGCTTCGGCTAAGATCGGCTCGAAGAACGACAGCACTTCGGACGCGTTCGGCTCGCGCACGCGGTACACGCACTCCTTGTGCAGCGGGAACAGTTCTTGTATCTGTACAAACATACATACTGTTACGCCGGTAAGAGTAACGCCATCTATCGCCGAATAGTCGAACGAATATCGAAGGATCTTCTAGCATCTAGAACGCTCGAGAATTACAACGCCATCTATTGTCAAATAGTGGAAACATACAATGCTAGACTTTTGTGGAATATTCTCGACAATTCTAGGGATTTCGTCTCGACTATAAAAGCGTTGCAGAGATGGCACGCAAGCAGTTAGTAATCGGAACTACTCGAAACAAAACAGCGAACGGATCACCTGAAGCAAAGCTGAATAAACAAATTGAGAAGTTTAAAGTGTTATAAGTGCTAATACAGTGTTAACTTGTACTTCGGTAGATTTTTTATTTATCCCGAACCCCAGCGCGTAACAATACATACGGGACCTCAAGTGCATTACGCGGCGTCTGCGTGTATTATGGATTGATATACAAAAATAAAACTTGTGTTCTAAAGACTAAGGTCGGAAATGATTTGGCAAAAATCGTTGAGATTCTATGTTGTACACTTGCATTGTTATATCTCTGAAACACGACCGTAATCATTGATCGCTCAAGCTTTACGTTCATTTATTCATCAGATGTTATTTCTTTTGCTTCGTTAGTGACATTTAAAAAATAAAACTGTATTTCAAAAGGACTATGTATACTTGTGGTCTCTCAGTAGTCTAAATTCGACTATAATTAATTGAAATTATAAGTTTGAACATTATTATGGTTTTATTGTCAAAGATTATTATACTTGTAATCACAGATTTTGCCAAGACTATAAACAAATAATATTAATCTATTTTCAATTTGACTACAGACTTTAAACAGCAACAAAACTGTGTGTGTGTGGTGTCTGCGTGTGTGTGCGTGCGTGCGTGTGTGTGCGTGCGTGTGCGTGTGTGCGTGCTTGTGCGTGTGTGCGTGCTTGTGCGTGTGCGTGTGTGTGTGTCTGTGTGTGTTAGCATATTGCACTCTTTCTCTATATTCTCCAAGTTCTACAAAGTTTTTGCTTCACGTACTACTAATATATAGATGACAGTAGTACCTCTTGTGGCAGCTCGTCGTGCTGTACCGACGAAGTGGCGAGCAGCAGAGTGTCGTCCCCGGCGGCCCGGGCGCGCCACAGTTGCAGCAGCAGCGCCCCGCCCGGCCCGGGTGCGAGGGACGCCCACACCGCCGCCACGTCGCGCACGTACAACACGCAGCCGCGGTCCGCGCGACGACACTCTGAGAATACCTGAGACATACGGGTATTCTATTATTGATCACGCTTTTAATCTTTTTTCAGATGTTTGCCCTCTCATGGTGAAGAGATACAGAAAAAGATGTTTTAGATTACTGGTGGCAGGACCTCTTGTGAGTCCGCACGGGTAGGTACCACCACCCCGCCTATTTCTGCCGTGAAGCAGGTATACGTTTCGGTTTGAAGGGTGGAGTAGCCGTTGTAACTATACTGAGACCTTAGAACTTATATCTCAGGGTGGGTGGCGCATTTACGTTGTAAATGTCTATGGGCTCCAGTAACCACTTAACACCAGGTGGGCTGTGAGCTCGTCAACCCATCTAAGCAATAAAAAAAAGGCATAGATCAATGGAATGGATGAATTCACAGCTCACTAGGTGCTATATGGTTTTACCGAGACCCATAAACACTCAAAACTCACTTTGAGACATGAGTTTTAAAATACATTTCAAGGTAACATTAAAAGCGAAAAACTGTAGCTTGACTTATAAGATTCTAAGTAAACCCAAATAAATAAGCATTTTTAAATACATAAATGAATTTTACTAAAGAAACTGTGGTACGATACAAATATAATGTATAATCCAGTATTGCGACTTACCGATATCAAAGCCTGCTCTTGAGTGAAAGTGTGCGCTGAATGTAAAGTTGACATACTGAGTTCCTTCACGGTGCAGTGCTCCAACTGCGCCAACAGGGCTGGAGCTAAATGCGTCTCAGCACATTCGCCTGTTATCAACATGGCACTCGACGATAGTGAACCACTAATCCTGAAACAATTTATAGGATTTTAAATTAGCTCAATTAGTCATTAACCAATTAACAAGTTCGCGTGAGCAACCTCATTTCTGAATATTGCTATTGTGGTGCACATTTTTCCCATACAAAGTTTAGTGTTACGCCGGTAAGAGTAACGCCATCTATCGCCGAATAGTCGAACGACTATCGATGGACCCTGAAGCACTTAGTATTCTTGAGAAGCACAACGCCATCTATTGACAGATAACGAAAACTACGACTAGAGATGTGTGGAATATTCTTGATAATTCTAGGGACGAGGTATCGGCTATAAAAGCGTTGTTGTGATGGCACGCAGTCAGTCAGTAATCGGAACTACTCGAAGCGAAACAACGAACAAATCAACGAACAAACGCGGAACGCGGCGGTGCAGGCTACGAAAATCGAATGTGTTGCAGCGCTAAGTAGATGCGCCATAGGAATTAGCCCATAAAATAGACGTCCAAAGACGTTCGGACAAAATAAATATAATAATCTAGAGGCAGTCATATGACGTTGCGCCATTTCATAATTTTATAAACACGACGTTGTAAGACGTTGCTCACGCGAACGTGTTAAATAATTCCAGTCTGAAAATTATACTAGGAACTGTTCTGGTTCTGTTTTATTTATTTTGTTCTATTTTATTTTGTTTTGACAAATTTATATAACGTGTGCGCTATCGAGAGCATTAAAAAACTCGCACTAAGCACATCGGTCTGTGTGCTTAGTGTGAGTTTCTGAACGTTCTCGATAGCGTAAAAGTTAACCCAATTTTGTATGCAGTTGGAACAGCGCCCCTAGCGGCAAACGTACGCAAACGATCCCATTCCATACAAATATGAGCTAAATTTTACGCTATCGAGAACGTTAAAAAACTCGCACTAAGCACACCGGTCTAAACAGCCGTTATACAACTGAAAGTCACCCACTCTATATCGAGGTGGGGGGGAGGGAGACGGACCTCTTCTCGGAGTCAGTGTGGTGCGGGAAGACGTTCCTGAGCACGTGCATAGCGGCGTCGAGCTGGGCGTGCAGCAGCGGCTCGCTGTGCGCGGGCAGGCGGCGCGCCGCCGGCGGACTGCTGCGGGCGCCGGCCGCCACCAGGCTGCGCATCGCCTCCAACATGTCTTGCTTGCTCACTTCCACCTGTCATCATCACAACAGCATTCACTACTACTGTATTATAAGAAAATCTCCTTAAATAATGTTTTCCCTACCTATGCTGATAGCCTTGAGAGGCTATTTCAGGTTCTCCTTGATGTGTAGGCGAGCTCACGGGGCTCAAACTGGGACTGTTGCTAACACTGGCCCTAGCAAGAGCAGTGCTTCGCAGAATCTACCACCGGATCGGAAACGCGACCCACTGAGAAGATCCGGCGAGAAAGTCAGTGGGCTGTCTGTGGGTTAATTTACTCGTCGAGCCCTTCGTCGCAAGCGACGGTTTCGACGAGGACGGTGACCGGTGCTTGAGGTACCTAAATGCACCGTTGATGGATCGGGAGAATCCGTAATGACAAATGATTGAAGACATGAATGGATGGAGGGAATCGTATCATAACGATTTGTTAATTTTGAGAAAACGGGCAACAAACTTTTGTTACTTGTACTTTTTCTTCGTACATAAATCCTTCATCACATACAATTTCTAAAAATAGCCTTTAAACCTGGAGTTTTAAGGTCTAATATGGTTTATAGGCACATTACACCTCCATTCAATATAAAAACACAAAAATCTTAAAAATTGTACTTAACCCCTTCATCCAATCATATCTTCAATTCATCTACAACTTAGAAAAGAGTCGAATCTCCAACAAAAAAAAAACACAGATACATTATTTAAAAAAAATATTGTAATTTACAAATCATCAAAATACCGGAAAACATAATGGAATCTTTGACACGTCATAAAATTACACCTACATACTACGTTTGTTATTATAAACTTACATTTTTAGCGTCAATAAGCAATGCATATTCACTCTCGTAGACTTGTGGGTAGACACGCCTCAGCGCCTTCAACACCGCTTCGGAGCACAGAGCCTTCAAATCGGAACCTGAAATCAGAGAGATCAATAAAATGGATTACATTAGGAAATCATCAAGATACTATTAAAACCAAATAGAGTGCACAGACGTCGGCTTCACAAGCCTCCTTATTATATTTACCATGAGACCACTAGTTTCGGTTTGAAGGTTTGGGATGGCCATTAGTGCTGACGCGATTGACATTCATAAATTAACTGACACGCCTATTCATTATTAAATGGTACTTAAGAGAGTTAGCATAAAGTTGAATGTTTATTATAATGCTAATTTATATTCTTTTTATTAATTATGGGTATTTATACGTACTAAACTGAGAGATAACGTTTTATTTATTTATTTAAAGACGTACTTTGTAATTAGATCGATTAAGATGGACGAAAGAAAAATGCTGTTGTATTGTGGTAATTTTACGTCTCTGCGCCTACGATGATCAATTTTGTCAATTTTTTTTATATTTGAATACACACAGACACAAACGTGTTAATTATAACGTTAAGTATGTATTATATATTATGTAAATTGTTTATTCATATTCATATGTAAAGCAAAATTATTATTACTTTACATTATGTATTTGTATGTATATTTATACATGTATATATGTAAGGAATTTGTGTATATATATAAATATGTATATTTAAATTGATTGGTACACCACGTGTAACTAATTTCCAAACGATTTTTTTCCACCTGATGGTTGTCTGGAAGAGCTCGCTCTTAGCAATAAGACCGCCAATTGTACTTTTTTGTATTCAATGTTCCGCATTGTTTCTTTTGTTGATGTACAATAATGAATACTCTCTCTCTCTCTCTGTCAAACGGGTACCGTTCGTCGAACAACCATAGTAAATATTCCGTTGTTTTTATTTATGTATTTTAAGCTATTGCATAGCTTCTATCGCGAGCCTTGAACGCGGCGACTGAATCAAGAAATTCCGTAACGAAAATAACCTGACACCCCCACTACGCCTACTATGTAGCTCGCGTTCAACACATTCACACGTTGCGCTTGTGTAGTGTTTGCGAATAAGCGCGCGGCGTGACGTCGCACTGCCGCATGCATATCATGAAAAGTCTGCCCATCTCTCCCTCGCGCGGTCTAGGTGAGTGAGTCTAGGTAGTGTGAAGGGGACAGTTAATGTATTTTGCTTTTGTTAATGTTCATAAATATAGCGTGGTCTTATTTTATTGTTGTTTTAATATTAAATTATTATTGTCGATTTATAATTGCATAAGTTGATAAAAAATGCTATGCAATAGCTTTACCGCGGCAGTCTCCGAGTGCCACACGTGTTTTTTTTTATTGCTTAGATGGGTGGACGATGTCACAGCCCACCTGGTGTTAAGTGGTTACTGGAGCCCATAGACATCTACAACGTAAATGCGCCACCCACCTTGAGACATAAGTTCTAAGGTCTCAGGTATAGTTACAACGGCTGCCCCACCTTTCAAACCGAAACGCATTACTGCTTCACGGCAGAAATAGGCAGAGCGGTGGTAGCTATCCGTGCGGACTCACAAGAGGTCATACCACCAGTAAAATTATAGAAGTACAATAATTCTATAGTTTACAAACTTATAATTTCAATTAATTACAGTCGAATTTCGACTACCGTGGAACCACTTATGTTAATTATTGGCAATAGTGGCGGACGCACCTCCATATCCGCTGGCCATGTCTGCGACGTGATCCAGGGTGCGCGCGGCGGGCGGCGGCTGCCAGTCCCGCGTGTAGATGTGCAGGATGTCGCGGCGCGCGGCGGCGTGCGGCGGCGGGAAGTGCAGCTCGCGGTCGAAGCGGCCCGCACGCCGCAGCGCCGGGTCCACCGCGTCCAGACGGTTCGTCGCACCTATTATCACCACCTCCCCCCTGTACACGTAACACAAACTTAAATAAGGGATAGACAGAAGCATTTATTACTGGTGGTAGGACCTCTTGTGAGTCCGCACGGGTAAGTACCACTCACCGCCCTGCCTATTTCTGCCGTGAAGCAGTAATGCGTTTCGATTTGAAGGGTGGGGCATGAGCGACGGTAATCACTCACCATCAGGTGGGCCATATTATATTCTTCTTCCTACAAGGGCAATAAAATAAAATTGCTTATGCCATTCTAAGCACTTTAATTGCTACATTGAGTTAAAAGACATATCTTCTATATATATAAAAATGAATTGCTGTTCGTTAGTCTCGCTAAAACTAGAGAACGATTGGACCGATTTGGCTAATTTTGGTCTGAATTATTTGTGGAAATCCAGAGAAGATTTGAAAAGTAGATAAATATGAAAATGCTCGGAATTATGTAAATAAAAATAACAATTTTGTTATCCTTTGATGTGTCCCGTCGGACGGTTTCCTTTTGTTTTATACAAGGATATTTTATACAAAAGTTTAGGTCTTTTATTAGCGATTTAGGCACTATGAAGTCTGCCGGGTCAGCTAATATATATATATAGAAGTTGTTCCCACCCAGTAACACAGAACTGCATCCCAAAAGCAACAAAGTGATTACGTTGATTTCCGTACCTGTCGCAGAGTCCGTCCATCTCAGCCAGCAGGGTGCCGACGACGCTGGTGTGCACTTGCTCCTGCCGCACGCTGCGGACCGGAGCCAAAGCGTCGATCTCGTCGAAGAATATAATAGACGGCTTCATTTTGTTGGCCTGCAAATAATACAAGTTCTCTTTAGTTTTTTTTCTTTTTCTTGAAACTATAAAAAAAGAAACACTGATTCCATACATAAATTTTCTAGTTCCTTCCTCGAAAATAACACTGAACAATTATTTTATACTATTTAATATACAACTACCGTTTCATTTACATTTTCGTAAATCTATACTCTATAACTACTGAACCGTGCATCCGATTGACTTGAAACTTGGTATCCATGTAGAAAATACATGTACTTAATGGATAGGCTAATATTTATGAGCGTTGGACTCCCTACACCAGTTGCGGGCGTTAATGATGAGAATCTTTGTGGGGGTGAGAAATAATAATGTTAATTTCTAAATGCCCAGCGAATCGGACGGGTACAGCTAGTCTATTTATATAATCAGTTACCGCGTGAATGACGGAGCATCGCTTACAACGCCATAATCGATTTGGCTTCATTTTTTTTTCGATCAATTAATTTCTGTTCGTATTTGAATGGATAAGAAAAATACATAATTAGGGACAGTCACTTTTGCTAGTTTTTTATTAAAATGAACCTAATTTCGTGTAAGCAAAATAAAACAGCTTTTACGGATAATTTGCATTATAAAAACTATTATTGAATAACAAAATTGTGTTCTTTTGTAATATTAGTAGTCTACATTCCCTATTCAACATGAAGGCTTGTGTGACATTTTTTTTTTATTTGACACATTTTACCAACTAACCTGCTGGAAAAGCAACTTCAAATGTCTTTCACTCTCGCCGACCCATTTCTTCAAGCAATCGGCTCCCTTCCTCATGAAGAACGCCACCTTCCTTCCTCCCACTAAGCTGCATTCATTAGCAAGGGCCCTCGCCAGCAAGGTCTTGCCAGTTCCGGGAGGGCCGTGGAACAGAACTCCTTTAGCTGGTCGAGTTTTGAACTTTTGAAACAAGTCCGGATACATGAGGGGGAACAAGACCATCTCTCGTAGACACTTTATATGCTCTTCTAATCCGCCGACCTGAAAATATACGTTTTTTTATTTATTTTTTTATTGCTTAGATGGTTGAACGAGCTCACAGCCCACCTGGTATTAAGTGGTTACTGGAGCCCATAGACATCTACAACGTAAATGCGCCACCCATCTTGAGATATAAGTTCTAAGGTCTCAAGTATAGTTACAACGGCTGCCCCACTCTTCAAACCGAAACGCATTACTGCTTCACGGCAGAAATAGGCAGGGTGGTGGTACCTACCCGCGCGCACTCACCACCACCTACCACCTACCACCAGTAATTACGCAAATTATAATTTTGCGGGTTTGATTTTTATTACATGATGTTATTCTTTCACCGTGGAAGTCAATCGCGAATATTCGTTGAGTACGTATTTCATTAGAAAAATTGGTACCCGCCTGAGATTCGAACACCGACGCATCGCTCAACACGTAGCACCGGACGTCTTATCCTTTAGGCCACGATGACTTCAAATAATAATAATAATGTTAAATATTAAGAACAAGGTCATCTCTACAGCTGGTTACTAACCTCTAGAGTAGGTTTGGATTGTTTCCAATGAAAATGTATATGAATATGCTTACCGATGAAAACCTAACGCTACCGTCGACTTCTACCGGCTGTATATCTCTCAAAGCTCTATCTGTTTTCTTATCATCCATTGATTTAGATTTTTGCCTGCAACAGAGTATTACAATGAAACCTCAAGTTATATATATGTCAGAGAAGATCATTAGTTTGGTATAGTAAAACGAAACGCAGCACGATTCCCGAGAGATGGCAGCACAATTGCGGTATCGTCGGAACTCGGCTAACTTCGTTCTACGACAGAGCCTAGCCGATGGAGGCGCGTAGACGCCAGCACACGGCTCAGTGAATTTGGCCCCCCTTTTTGATTTTCGATTTTTTTTATTTTTAATTATTTGTTCGTCGGTTGTTCGTCTTTTATTTATTTACAATTAATTAAACAAATTATCACCCTTAAGTTGCCCCTCCTTATTTACTAGCTGACCCGGCAAACGTTGTTTTGCCATGTATGTTATTTCTAGGAAACATTTTTTTAGTTCAATAAAAATAACTATCTACTATAAGTGTACGGGGATATACTAATAATCGAAAGCGTTATAAAGAATAAAAGTATGTTTTATTTAGGTTAATAAATAAATATTTCTTAAAGTAACGAATATATTTTAAATTACAATCTTTGATAGCTATCTAAGTATCAAAAATAATTATTCATATTTTTACTATCAATTATGGCAGTTGGCAGGAGCTTACAACACGTGTCTATTTACATAAGATCACTTAATTAACTGAGAGTTAAAACTGTCTTTGTCAGATTAATAAATTGTAAATAAATAATTATTGCACTGGAAATTAGTGATAATTTTACGATGACAGTAAAATTAACATGAGAGTTGCACAGAAAAAATAAAATAATAGGTATAACAGTCACTGCTACGATTGATACACAATAAAAACAGAAAAACATGGCTGAAAAATGTATAGTGAGTAAGACAGGAGACCGGCTTCGTCCTCATCCCTACTACGTGATGTTTGCTGGATGAGTGCTGACACCTGGCGGGGATAGCTGATCGATTGATAGTTGATCAGTAGGCGACCGGCGAGGGCGAGAGATCAAATTGAATTTAAAAAAAATCCTTATTAAAGGAACTTGAAATTATAAACTCTGAATAAGAATTTATCGTACTACAATCATAATATTTGATTGCCATCTTGCAACCTTATTGCGGATCTGTGCATAGAATAAAAAAAATAAAAATCGGGATGGAAAAATAGGGGTTGATCGTATAAGAGTGAAAATTGAGAGTAATATGATTTTTTTTAATTTTAAGTCATGACAAAATAAAATAAAAATTGTTGCCAAAAAAATTAAAAGTTTATAATTAACAAATAAAAAATAGGGGTTGATCATAGAGGGATGAAAATTTGAGAGTAACATCAGATTTTTTATTTTAATTCATGATAAAATAAAAATAAAAATGAAAATCTTGCCAAAAAAATTAGTTTATAATTAACAAATAAAAAATAGGGGTTGATCATAGAGGGGTGAAAAATTCAGTGTTATATGAAATTTATTATTCTAAGTCATGACAAAATAAAAATAAAATTCTTGCAAAAAAATTTAAAGTTTTTAATTAGCAAATAAAAAATAAGGGTTGATCGTAGAGGGGTCAAAATTTAAGGTTGTATATATTTTTGTATGCTGTATCATAAAAAAATAAAGACACTTTTTTTGTCTAAATAATAAAAAAAAATTAAGGGATGGATCACCCTTAACATTTAGGGGGATGAAAAATAGATGTTGTTCGATTCTCAACCCTGACCGATATGCACGCTAAGATTCACGAAAATCGGTCGAGCCGTTTCGGAGGAGTTCAATCACGCACACCGTGACACGAGAATTTTATTTACCTGAGCGATAAAAATAAAGATATCTAGTAAGGGGGGGGGGGACACTTAACGGTGATCATTTGTTTAATTATTTATAAATAAATAAAAGACGAACAAACAATTTTTACATTCGAACATTAACGAACAAACGACGAACAAATAATTAAAAATAAAAACCGATAATCAAAAAAGGGGGGCAAAATTCACTGAGCCCCAACACACACCAACCCGCCTTCTGAAGAGCGGTGCCTCCGTCCTAAGAATTGTCATTCGTTTTCGTATGCTAACGGCAAGTGAATATTCCTAAATTGTTCTAAGATAACAAACGTGTTTTGTGTACTCAATATTTCTCTTAACTCGATCACCCTATTCACCCCTGTGATGTCTGACGATGGTGTTAATAGAACGGTTTCTCCGACATACATTTTTTAAAGACGGGTGAACAAGATAACCACCCAACTGGTGTTAATTGGTTCGCGGTTCGTCCATAAAAACCACAAGATGAACTAAGCCACCCACCTTGAAACGTGACCAATGACGACTCTGACCCAGAATTAGTACCAAGCAATAAACGTTTGTGTATGCATCGTCACCAATGGTAAACATCGTAAGAGTTGCTGTTATAATTGCTAATCATCCGAAAATGCGCCCTGTCGCTAAAAAATAATTTTCGACCGGGATTGTGGACACAATTCTTCCAAACGCTCTAAAGCTTAGTAGTCAGCGAACATCCGGCTTTGTTTATGGTTATTAACTTTGAGGTTCTGGGTCAATTGGATCTTGTACCTATTGTGTAGGCCCAAGTACCGACGCAAAATGCGGCAAGTCTGCCAAAGACCCAGTTCTTGTGCACGACGAGGAACTAACTCGAAGATGTTCTCGATCGCTGCTACTGTCCTTGGACGTACGAGTCGGGTGATTGTTGTCCAAGCCGCTCGTCTCAAATTTGGTCACCGAACGTTGCAAAGTCGCCTCTGAAGGTGCTAACGAACTAACGACCACTAATTTCGATAGCAATTATATTTCATTTGGACGCGTTGCTGGGTCGTGTAACCTGCCGTAGTGATTTGGCATCACTGACAGAACAATGAAGAACACTGTTGTTTAATAGATTAAGCAGAGGCCAAAAAAACAAAATGGCCGCCACGGACTGTCAACATCGACCCGCCGTGATTAAAAAACGATTTACAAATCATTTTCACATTCATTCACTGAGCACTGCACGCGACACGGATGGCGAGACTCACCTGCCCTTCGTTTTGTTTTTCATAGAAACATTGAGGTCCTCTTCTGTATCCGAGCTGGACGTGCTGGTGGTGCTGCTGCTTGAAGGCGATTGTGCTGTAATTCAATAATCAATATTAATTCATACCACAAACATGTTGAATAAAAAAATGTTTTTTTACAATATCCCATTTATATATATATTTCTTCTGTGCGTGTGTTTTTCACTGAACTCCTAAACGGCTGGACCGATTTGTGTGATTTTTGCAGAACAACGTCTGTCGGGTCCGCTAGTCATTTAAAAAGATTTAGCCTTTAAATAGATTTTAGGAGACAAATTGAAATTTTGAAATGGCGGATATCTGACCTTTTGTTTCTGCTGTCGTGATTCATCTATATATATATATATATATATAAAAATGAATTGCTGTTCATTAGTCTCGCTAAAACTCGAGAACGGCTGGATCGATTTGGCTAATTTTGGTCTTGGAATGATTTGTGGTAGTCCAGAGAAGGTTTTAAAGGTAGATAAATATCAAAATTCCTTTTGTTTGTTTTATTTTATACAAATGTTTAGGTCTTTTATTTATCGATTGAGGAAGTCTGCCGGGTCAGCCAGTAAGTTAATAGTAATATAATTCATAAGGTGGTGCATAGGAGACAGTAATTTCGATCACATGCCGTAATTTATTCAATTTTTAATGTCCATTAGCTCTAATTGCCTCATAACACTGAGTGGACCGTGGACTCGTGAGCTAAAATGCATTGTGCTATTTTTTCTATGCTATGTTTTCTTGGACGCTATTAATAATGAAAATACTAACATCTGATCGTTTTTCTGCGTAATATCTTTGGTTTTCTCTCTCTCAAACTGTACGGTTTCTTTCTTATTGTGAACGTCTTTGCTGTAAACAAAATAAAACTTCATATTATTATGAAAAAGTATTAAGAGAGTTACCTGTAATTAATTGCTTATTATTGTTATTATTAACGTCTATGTGTGGCAGTAGTAACCACTAACCGTCCAGTGGGCCGTGAGTTAATGTCTCCGAAGGCAATATTATCGCTTAGTTTGACCTCTTCAGGGACATTGACACATATGTATACCTTGTTTTTTTTAATTATTTATATATTTAACTCTATGCCTATATGGCCGCATATGTTGGAAATATTTATTTTATAAAAATATTCACTAATTTTGATAAATTTTTTTCTTATTGAGTTGTTTTCTATATAAAATAGACGAATACGCAATAAAGAATAAACGAAATTCATATTTTTTGTACTTAAAAAAATTCATCCCTGAAGAGGTTAAACTCATTATTAATTTGACGGACCATGTTTTAAATGAAAATTTGAGTCGTCTATTATCAAAGGTGGCAATCTGTACATTTGGACAAAAATTTTTTATTGATATGTCAATACAGATTTATTTGAATATAATCGTCTCCTTCAAAGAATACGGTTCAAAACCTGCATTAAATAAAGGTTAATAGTTAACCTGTTATTTATCTAAGATGTCGTTCCGAAGAGTTTTGTGACTGCCAATGGAATACAAAGTCAATAATTTGTTTTGATTTACCAATCATTGTCCAAAAGTCAGATTGCCGCCTTTGATAATAGTCGACTCATTTGTAGATCACGTTTTTGGCAAGTCACAACAAATAGTGACAGTTTTCAACTGGTAAGCAATAAAAGTAGCACGTTAGCGTCGAACCTCTGGCCCGTGTTTCTGCGGGCGCGATCTCGACGAAAGCAGAGCGCGGCTTCCGGGTGCGCTTGGAGCGGCGCGGCTGGCGGCCCAGCGTCAGCTCGCTGCCGGACTCCGTCGACGACGTCTCCGACGCTGAAGTCGTGGACAAAACCTTTCAACTTTAAGCTCTTAAACCACTAAGCAATTGTAGTTAAAATTATAAAACAAATTTAAATCTATATATATAAAAATGAATTGCTGTTCGTTAGTCTCGCTAAAACTCGAGAACGGCTGGACCGATTTGGCTAATTTAGGTCTTGAATTATTTGTGGAAGTCCAGAGAAGCTTTAAAAGGTAGATAAATATGAAAATGCTCGGAATTAAATAAAAATAACAAATTTGTTTTCTCTTTGATGTGTCCCCTTTGATGTTTTTTTTTTTTATATTTTATTGCTTAGGTGGGTGGACGAGCTCACAGCCCACCTGGCGTTAAGTGGTAACTGGAGCCCATAGACATCCACAACGTAAATGCGCCACCCACCTTGAGATACAAGTTCTAAGGTCTCAAGTATAGTTACAACGGCTGCCCCACCCTTCAAACCGAAACGCATTACTGCTTCACGGCAGAAATAGGCAGGGTGGTGGTACCCACCCGCGCGGACTCACAAGAGGTCCTACCACCAGTAAAATGTCGGACGGATTCCTTTTGTTAGTTTTAAGTTTATTTTATACAAAAGTTTAGGTCTTTTATTTATCGATTGAGGCACTACGAAGTCTGCCGGATCAGCTAGTCTGTTATAAATTTTGTACACTTTGCCTTGAGACTACAGCATAGAGATGAGTCGGATTTATTAGAACAGACCCGAGTATTAGGTATTTTACGAGATTAGGCTGCACCTAATCCCATTTTGTCAATGTGTATAATCCACCTGTTTCACCTAATCTTCGTATTCTTAAAATTGAATGTTCAGCATACGCTCCCACCTGTACCTGAGCTATCTCAATCGCTTACACGTTCCAACGTATCTCACAATCCCTAAATGCCTAATCCTAATCATTCTAATACTGATCTAACGATCACATTAATCAAATCCTAGTAACGAACTCATAACTTAAGATTAGAAATAGGCAGATTGAGATTGCTTGCTAAGTAAAGTATTGGCTGTGAATGAGATTAAGAAGATTATGTGGATTAGGTATTTCTTAAGATTAGGAACAGGTATCTGATTTACCTAGTACGACCCATTTCTAATACAGCACCCAGGTGGTGAAAAAATGTTTCGTATCATATCTATTTATAGCAATCAAGAGCGGCATCTTTCCACTACAATTACGAACATTCACACCGCTAATAAGAATAATGTTTTTTTAATTGTCTTTACAGGCGGACTAGGACACAGTCCGTCTGATGATAAGTAATCTTGGTCGCAGGAATGCCATAGGCACAGCCGCTACTAACTGCTGAAAGTACATTGCATCTTAAAAGAGTATTATTAATAGAGCAATAATTCCTGCTAAGTAAAATGTTCTCTTTTTAGTACTAACTATTAACAACGTTTCTACGCATTTTGTTTGAGATGAGCTCCGTGAAAATGGACGATTTGCAAGCATTAATTGATGCAAACACAAAACACAAAAACGTAAGTTTTTGCTACGCAAGTGAGCGGGTAAATTTATAAAAAAACATAAAAAAACCTTCCTTAAAAATTTCAGAATTATAATAAAAGGCACAATAATAGTATCCATTTGCGTACCTGATAAAACAATATTATTACACTCTTAGTAAAATCGTATTATCCCGTATACCCGATACCTATGACACCTTTTTGTACAAAAATTATAAATGATAAAATTCTACGAGAAAAGAAAACCGGGAGGTTGTCACTAATGCCTCTACCTACTATCTACTACCCCATTTCCTCACAAATAATTGAACCAAATTGAAAATGTCATTAGTCCAGATAAACTTTTAATTGAAAATCTTACAGTGAATTTCCTAAAGAATATGAAACACAGACCTATCGCTAAATTGAGACCTCCCAAACATGGTTCGATGCAGGCGTGCTGACACAAGAAGATTCCCCGCTTGGCGCCCTCCATATTGGCGAATCAAACTGGTTTCATATTAAATCTGTTCTGTCTTATTTTATCGGTATAAACACCAAAACTGTATCAAATAAATACTAGTCTAGTTCGTAGTAGGACCACCATAACCATACATTAAAAAGCGTGCGGTTATGAGGCCATTAGCCGACGATGAAAGTCATTAAAACACTATTATTACTCGTTTATATCTAATTATGTATTAGTTTTCTTTAAACAGTCTGTCTGTGTGTATTTACCAGTCTCGTTCTGGCTGTCGTCTTTCTTCGGTTTACCTCTCGGTTTCCTTCTGGTAGATCTCGAGGGTGGTTGGTTGCTGAAATACAAATATTATATCAGATTATATAGTAACTTCAGGATTTTTGTTGGTCATGGGTTTACCTAAGCACTAAGTGGTTACCCGCAATGTGGCCAACCGTCGGGTGGACCACAGGATGCGGTTGAGAAACCGTCACAGTTTGCGGTTGGATCGATCCATTTCAAAGATGGACGTCGAAGAAGCCGCAACTATTTACTACATTATCTATTTTGTATTCCAATTATAAACTTTTTTGTATCTTTTTTTTCCTACCTATGCTGATAGCCTTGAGAAGCTATTTCAGCTTCTCCCTAACGTGTGGGTGAGCTCACGGGGCTCAAGCCGGAGTGGTGCTAACACTGGCCCTAGCAAGAGCAGTGCTTCGCAGAATCTACCAGCGGATCGGAAACGTGACCCACTGCGAAAATCCGGCGAGAAACTCAGTGAGCTGTGTCTATGAGTTAATTTACTCGTCGAGCGCTTCGTCGCAAGCGACGGGTACTGCGAGGACGGTGAACGGCTACATTATCTATTTTGTATCTCAATTATAAACTTTTCTATAACGAAACCGCCAATGGCCGTATTGCGGCTAACCGTATAGTCCGTACGTAGCCTTAACATCAGCAGTAAGAGAAGCATTAATAAAAAATATACCTTTTCATGGTGATCGTTTTTTGGGATATATTTTTTTTTATACACGGTTAGGTAAATGAGCTAGTGTTCAGTGGTGACGGAATCCCATAGATAAAACAGGAATGCTGTCACCCATAATTGACACATGAAGTCGAAATCCCAACCCTATTGCATCAAAGCCTTACTAAAACAGTTTCCAATTTCAATTTTAAAATAGTTTCAAATTCCAGACAAAATTATGGCTACATATCCCCCGTTACGTAGCTAACGTGTATATGGCCATTTATCATCAAACATTTAAAAAAAACAATCTAAATAGGCAAACTACTTACAAAATTAAAGGAGAATGCCCATTGCAGTATGGAATTTGGTTTCAAGTTGTGCTCTCATGTAACTTACCTCATTTTGTAGGGTTTAATATGATTATTCATTTATAAAAAAATATATGTCTCTAGTTCGCCGGATTTTCTAGTAAAAGACCAATGAAGTTTATAGAATTAGGTTATTTTTTGTACAAGACAGCAGTGGATATTGATTAGTGGATTTTTTGATTATGCTGAGTTCTTACATACTTAAAAACATACGTATAAACTATTTTATTAATGAAAACATGTTTATAGTATAAACTTATTTACCTAGCATAGTATTGTGTGGCTAGGGCCACTACGTCCATTCGTTAAGTAAAGGTACTATTACGGCAATTCAAAATAAAACAAAAATAGACATAAAATAATTTATTTCTCATATTATGCCGATTTATCATTATACCTACCTCAGCCCAGCCTAACATGGACTCAACAACCCACAGTTCGGTTGCCAACGAGATAGTTGTAGTAATAACTATTGAATTAATAGTATTAGCAACGTTTTCATCACGATTAATTAATATGTACGTATAATACATAAATTAATTCTGCCCCAATATGCCTGGACTGCTGTCTAACAAAATAACGAATAATATGACCGAACGAAACACACTATTTAAAACTCAATCGGAAACATGAGAAACGGCGCCAGTAAATCAGTAAATCAAAATATTATTGTTAATTAAGTACCGTAAAATTGGGCGATTAGGGATTGAGAGGCGAATCGGGAAAAAACCGGGAAAATCTTTCGACGCTCAATATTAGTTTTATATTCGTTGCAAAATCTTCCATTTTTTGTAGTTTAATAGTAGAACGTTGAAAGTTTACAAAACAACTCTGAATATGCATGATAATAACTGCTAACTTATAAAAAATCGCGTTTCAAAGTAACTTCCTGTGGTGGTAATTATTTTAGTGCTAGAAACTTTGCTCTCTTTTATTTATTTGATAATAATAGAAGACGACTGTGATTTATAAACGTTATTTAGTGTTTGAACCATCATAATAATATATATTAAAGGTAAGTCTCAGTTGTTATTGGTTTTAATGTATTTGATAAAATAAAAATACATGTAAAAATCTGTTGTTTTTGGGGATATTGGGGACGTCTTAGGTACAAATAACAACGAAAAAGGGGTCAATTGGGATGAGAATACGTGAAATGGAAACGACCTAAGTATAAATAGGTACAGGTTTGTAGGGTTGTCTATGTAGTTATAACAATATATTTTTAATTTGTTGGTAAAAATCTGGTTTATTCATGATGTTTTTGTTTAGAACTTTTATTCAAAATTATCAATGTGTTATTTTATTGTTTGGTAAATATTTATATTATCAGTTACGTATTGTTTTTTATTTTTAGATATGCCTCGCGTGTACGTATCAAAGAGTGCGAATTTAGGTGCTTACTCTCCCATATACAGAATCCTTTGGGACTCTAATAATGTCCACGGTGGCGTGGTCTCCGTCAATGTTCATTTGGAGTTGTCCGATTACGCTGAACTAATTTTAAGTGATGAAATAGATGTTTTTTTTAATTGTCTCACAACTTACAGGACAAATCAGTCGCGGATCATTTCCCAAGTAAATATAAATTAATCATAAGTAAATAAATGTAATCAAGTTTGTTATATATATATATATATATATATATATATTGTTGTTAATGCACTGTCGATCATCTGTCATGTACTTTTGTCAGTTTTTCAATCTTTTTTATTAATGATCACTTGTTGGTGCAACTAAATAAATAAATTAATTAAAACCAAGTAGTGCCAACCCTAGCAAATTTCTCATTTCGTCCCAATTAACCGCAATTTCCGGGTAAATAGGTATTACACCTATTTTTGCTTTTTTTGCTTAAACTGGAATTCTAGCTGCATAGTTTTAAATTGGACAACAAAGATGCCCCCAAGACTCAATCATTTTGATCCTGATATAGCATTATATACACCAACTATATACAACAACACCAACACCAACCAACAATTTGTCCCTAATCGCCCCATTTTACCGGTACTTGTCAAATGTCAGTAGTAGTAGTAGTTAGTAGTTGTATTTTTTCAACTGGAAAGGCAAAAGTATCATACCATACAACCTAATATTTTATTATTTTTTTGTGAAAAATATTAATTAATACGAAATGAAATGAAATGAAGAGAATTTGGAACATTAATCAATGGGCATGAAATTAAATTAGTCAATTCAATTGGCAAAATATTAGTCATTTACAATTTAGAAATCTAAACTGTCAACACTGTCAACACTGAGGTTTGAGATTGCCATTTGTTTTGACAGACTTTTTGGCGGGAACGCGAGGAGCGAAGCTGTGTGAATTGTTTTATTTTGTCTATTTAATGTTTCTTCAGGTTGAAATGTGTAATAACGGTGGTTTATTAACTGTTTAGTATCTGTGAAAGTGCACAAATGTGGGAAAATGAACTGGACATAACTTCTTGGAATCCTCCAAAAAGTCCACTGAAAAGGTTTCAGTAAATAACCACCATTTTACTGAGATTATATTTCATCCCATATCATCTCGATTCATTTCATTTTATTTCATTTCAAGCCAATTGATTAATGTCTCAAATTTTTCAATTTCATTTCATTTCACTCCATAATATCATATTTTTTTAAAGATTAGCCTGTATGATATATTATTATCTTTGCCTTTTCATTGGGAAAATTGAACTACTACTAGGTTAGAAGTTTGTAAGTTACTAATTATTTTAATTTTCTATACCCGGCGAAGTTATAACTTAATAATTTTGAAGAAATTGTTAAAAATAAAAACTTAATTTTTAATATATATTTGATAGTAGCACAACACGAAACCAAGAATGGGCAATCTCCTTTGGAAATTCAGTGTTTTCCAATACTGTAAAGTAATATCAACAATTTAAACGACTGATTCTGTTTTGTATTATAGTATTAGAAACGGTAATCTATATATTAATACGTGAAGCAAAAACTTTGTATCCCTTTTTACGAAAATTGCGCGGACGGAGTATGAAATTTTCCACACTTATAGAGAATATAGAGAAGAAGTTCACAATGCAAATATTTTTTTAAAATAATGCATAAAAGATACATTAAATCAATAAAGAAAACATTACACACACTACATACCATGTATTTGACGCACACACGCATGCATACTATTTATTGTCAAACTTTTGTTCTTGACATCTGTTGTCAAATTGAGAATAGATTAAATATTGTTTGTCTTTGTTAATATTTTTTATAGGTAGTGTATTCTTGGCGAAGTTTGTGATTATGGAAGTATAAAATACAATCATAATAGTGAACAAACTTACAATTCCAATTAATTATAGTCGAATTTCGACTACTGCGGGACCTCTAGTATAAATAATTATATGTAATATGGTAATTATTGTGTATGAAAAAAAAACACACCTCTCACTATCCTGTGCCTGCACCGTCTCTCTTTCAGTCTTTAAGTTTTCACTCTTACATCCGTTGTCGACGTGCATCAACTTATCATCAGCCTTGTTTACTTCGATACCGTTGGCCGGTTTCTTTTCTATAACCGTTTGATTATTTTCATCTTCTGAATCCGATTCAGTACCACCCTGTATATTATAAACTATTATCAGTGTATAGTTTTCTACAACTATTTATGTTCCCAATCTCATAGATACTGTCTATTTCTGATTTAGATGACCGCAAATTTATGTGTAGATCGATTCGAGATATAAAACTCGAAAACAATTTTTTTTAGATGAACATAAATAGAATTACTAAGAAAACTAATATTTTAATCGATAATATGTCGCACCTTTAGAATTGAAGTGGCTCAACTAAAAATTTTAAGAAAATGTGTTTTATATAATATTTTAAAGGACTTATAAAAATATAATCTAACGGTTTATAAAATTGTTTAAAATTAAAAAGGAAAATTAAATTAGTTAGAAAAGAAAAAGGCACCGTATCCGTCACTTTTAAATCAACTTAGTAAATCAACAACAAGGGAAAACGTTTTAAAATCAAAACTGAAAAATTACAATTCTTCAATAAAATTTTTGGCGTTTACCAAAAAACAAGAATTTTGGTTTAAGCCACTTCAATTCTGAGGGTGCAATATTTATGAACATAAATGTTTTGGTCGTATTGAACAAACACAACGAACAGTTCACTAAACTACATATTATGTGCTCATGCATGTTTTTAATTGATATTTTGTACAATTGTTTTTGCATTTTAAAGAATGTCTGTATCAATAGCACCATCAACTGCCGATAGATGGCGCGACAGCATTTTAACAAAAATTGCGTTTTCAGGTATCTAGTAACATTAATAGAGAAGCGTGACCAGATTACGCTTGAATTACATTTGACTGAGGCCTTACGGTAGATGTTAAGGAACAAGATTTTTTTTTATTGCTTAGATGGGTGGACGAGCTCACAGCCCACCTGGTGTTAAGTGGTTACTGGAGCCCATAGACATCTAGAACATAAATGCGCCACCCACCTTGAGATATAAGTTCTAAGGTTTCAAGTATAGTTACAACGGCTGCCCCACCTTTCAAACCGAAACGCCTTACTGCTTCACGGCGGAAATAGGCAGGGCGGTGATACCTACCCGCGCGGACTCACAAGAGGTCCTACCACCAGTATGCACACAGGACGCATGACTACTCCGTGACAGGAGTGTGACGGTGGTACCCACCCTGCCTATTTCTATTTAGATATTAAAGAAGAAGAAAAAAGTATATTGAGGCCTTACAGTAGATATTAAGGAACAAGAAAAAAGGATATTTTTGGCTACGTACATTATTCTTCTTGTTGGTGAACCTCGCTGAAGTACGACGCTGTCTCGACAGCTGCGTGTCTTCATCTGTGTTCGTTTGTGGGTGATTCGGAGTCTACAATACAGGACTACGTTAGCTGGATGTCGTGCATCATAGTGAGAATAGATAAACTAGATTTTCATATATTTTGGTGAAGTGAATTTTAGTCTAATATTTAAATTATTTTCCAGAAGAAAATACCCCATGGTCATGATAGAATGGATGGAGTCAGAATGTACTGCATGTCCAGATTCACAAGTGACCAAGAACCAATAGAAAAAGTTAGGTACTCACCAATTTCTTTGAAGAAACTCTCGCTTCATCGCCAGATGTGAATTCATCAGATGAACTGGAACCAGGAAAGCCATACAAGTCTGGGTATCCTTTCACTTTTAGTTCATTAGTGATCCAGCTCTCGTTGAAATTGTGATGGAGCAGTTTGCGCTTGCGGCAACTTCTTCTGACATCTTTAAACAATTTTTTTTTATCTTAGGCTGTTATAGACGAAGGGGCCATTTACTAGATTCAACTATACATATTATGCCACCCTATGGCACCCCATGATTGGGTGATTCAATCTCTACACCCAAAAAAAAGTTGTCACAATGCAGTTACACATTCTGGTAGAATATCTGTTATTACAATGCAATTTGAACTCGTGTCTCTAGATGAGTGATAAATAGTATTTACATTGTGATACTGTGTGATTCACTCTCAGACTAAAGTTGGTGTGGATATGCTATAAAAGTTATATTGGAAACATTTTTCCATAATCTTAAACCCTCCACAGGCTTCATGTGCGAGTCATGAGACAGATTGTGTCTGCCTCTCTATCTTCAGTGCTTTTATTTTCACAATACTTACTTTCCTGTATTGGTTTGTCTTCACTGTCTTCCATGTAATTCTTCCTGGGCGCTCGACTACGACGGATTCTGTTTGTTGTGTCATTATCATCAGCAAAAAACACTCTCACTTGTCGTGAACTGTTGGGAGGAAAAATGAAATACCGTTTAAATTATCGCAATGACTGTCGTGAATTACGTTATGAAGTAATCATTTATTGAAAGTATTCGCGCTCAACCTATCGTGCGATGATGACTCTGTCACAGAAAGCAAACCTGATCTGCCTACAAAATCTCTACTCAAACAAATATAGGCCGTGTGAACGTTTAATACACGAACAAGCAAACCTATTTTATTGATATATTAGAATTTTAACCATGATGGCATAATCTGTGCTCAATCGATGAATAAAAACAGAGCTCATTGTAGATATATGAGGTAATAATAGATTGTAGTGGAAGCAGCTGGATAGTTGTAGTGTACAACTTTAATTTTCTTCATGGTACCAATGTATAGTACCCTGTCATCACACTAACTGGAGACCAAAAAGTACTGAACATAAATCTCACTTATTTTACATTCCAACACAAACAGGTGTTCACTCATTTCTGAGGTTCATTCACGATTGAGATGTTCAGTCAATTTAAAATAATGTGTATGCCCTTACCGCCTCGAGTACTTCTCAGGGTCTGTATCGCTTTCAGGGAAAACGATTCGTGGCATTTTTATGGTTCTACGCTTGCGATCTGTGAAAAGTAAAATAAGCTTATAATTTGATTTAAGAGTGCTGTAAGTATGAAGTACTAAATTCAGTCATTGAAGAAAGTGCCTGTACAAATCTCATATTTAATCAATAAAATATAACTGTCCTATTGTACTGTGTATAGTACCTACTAATCTCAAGATATATTGGTAGGGCATATTGTGATCTGTGTCTCCATATTTCTGTAGTGTATACATCTTTTCACATATGAAAGGCAGGACATACAACTTTGAATTCAATCAAATAGGACTTCACGTCATTGTTTATAGGTTCAGGACCCCATCTAATAGCACACAGGTTAAGATATTAGCACCTGCCTAAATAACATTTATATCTGCTGCTTTTTGATACAAAATGCAAAAAAGATAACTCGAGACATGATAATATTTCTCATATAGTTTCATAATAATTGTGCCCAAGATGTGAAGAAACTGTTTCACAAAACCAATACTGACATCACTGATTGAGGACTGCCATTTTGCATGCATCACACAAAAATTACAGAACAGAATTCAAATACTAAGATTTAGTTTAAATTTTTATGCACTTTAAGTTTATCTAAAAAAAGTATTTAAGTCTAAAAGTATATAAAACCACTTAAGTCCATGAAGTCACAGTCAGTCGAACATAAAATGTTTAAAGCACCACTATGAAGAGCTCATTATTTTAAATCAAATTAAGTTTTGTAGTTCTAACAGGTAGAGATGGTATTAAGACTACAAAAACTGAATATATTATTCTAATGCTTAAATCAATTAGTTCTCATAAAACCAAATTGCAAGTGGAATTAAAAAACAATTTTAAATTCTCATGAAATAGGCATACTAAGGATCAATCAAAAGAAATGAGAAATGGATATTAACAAACATAATTTTCTTAAATTATATTGTAAATAAATTTCAAATCAAGTCTAAGCTGATCCACATAACTTACATTTAGTAGGCCAGCGCTGGATCTTTCTGGTAACTTTGTACTGACTGCTCCTCAGCTCTCGCTGGGTCCAGTTAGACACCTACATTTTTAATGTTAGTCATTAAACAGTTTAATAGCAGAATTCAACATGATACTGTTTTATATAACTACATTTTACTCCAATCAAGATTATTTCAAGTATTCTTGTTGTTCACATTAGTGTTATTCATCTTTTGCTTCATTATTGTAATAACAGAATACATTAGCACTAACTCACAGTGAAGATCAATGGATCAGTTTGCATTTGAGAGATTTTATTTTAGCAAACCACCTAGTGTTAAATGATGATTAATTATGAAATGTAAACCATACACAGCTGAACATAAAAGTTGCCACCTCCCAAAGGCATCAGGTCATTGTCTCAATTGCATTGTCATCCTATACTTCAAACTAGATTGTATGAAATCAGAAATATACACACAATAGCTTTAACGATTATTTTGGTCTTAACAGCCATTAGTATAATATTGATATTTCATTGTTTATTAGAACACCAAATTATTTAGAATATAAACATTTTTAGACACTATAAAATACTCAAAGCGGTATTCACCTTATGATATCTAGGGGACCTGGAAACCACTTCACTAAGTGTGTGATATGCCTTTTGTTACCCATTTAGGTCTAGGGGCACTTCTTTGGCAAAATCACCAATCAAATTAAGATGATAATTATATTCTTGATAATGTCAATAAAATTTCAAATACAAAAGGCCTTTATTACCAATTATATTGTAGTAACGTAATATTCTTCAATTAGCAGTAAACAAATGGATCATGCAGAACATTAATGCCTAAAACTCACACTTTTTTTCTTAATAATTTTGAAATATCTAAAGCAAACAGAATTTTAAGCCATGAAGATACTTAAGATCTTATGAACTTACTAACTTATTGACACTCGCTTGTCAAGGTAGGTGTTATTCAAGTTGTTATCTCTATAGGCTACAGTCACCAACTCCAACAGTTAGATGTGAGCTCAACTGCCAATGAACAGCTACACAACAGTTTATTATTTAACATTCATAAATATGTGAATTAGTTTTATTTTACATATTAAGAACTATTATTGATATTTTGTTTAAACAAATGGTGAATATTTTGAAGAGAAATAAGCTGTCCTACCATTTTTATAACATTTAAATATATAATTAAGTAATAAGAAGTTTTAATCTTGGTAAATCAAAATCCATAGTAAAATGATCATAAATAAACATCTAAGTATTGCTTCTATTTTATATTTTTTGATTGTAGTCTAACAAGAGTGGCACCATTCAGATATGGGCTTCTTTAAATAAGAGACATGCATTAAAACTAGTAACTCCATAACAGCCACAAAACCCCATGCACTTTTTAAACATTCTTGGTTAAAACCAAAATAAATAAGAAAATCATTTTCTTGCAGTGAATTCAATTTACTTTATATTCTTTGTCTGCACTAATAGTTTAAATAGACGACAAAAATGTATAGGAAGAATATTCATTTCACATTCATTGATGATTTTACAATTACATTGTGAAATTTGTTTTTTTTTGTTCATTTAAAAGTAATATAACACTTACTTAGCATAAGTAACTAGGAGCACTACATTTTTCATGCAATAAAATTGCAGCAACAATAAGGAAAATGGGCACAGGAAGTGCTCACAAAATGGTGTTCTAAACAAAAGCAAAAGGTCGGAATTCTCGCAAAATCAAACGGCATGTTACACAGCGTGTCACCTTCTCATCTGAGATGCTGCCCACGACGTTTACAGTGTAATTCCCATCGTCAACCTCCCCGTTCTCTCCATTACTGCGACGGGTTTTCACCATTGCAGTACTTGTGTCGTAATTCTACATACAAACTCACGGAATTAATATGTAACTAATGAATAATGCTAGGGACACTCCAACGAATTAACTACTCGAATACGATTCTCAACAAATTAATATTAAATGGAATAAAACCACAAAGAACGTACTTTATCATCCGCACATGTCGATCCGAAACGCCATGTTAATTCGCTACGTACTAGTGGGTTTCGACTATTTTTTTAGTATACAAACTCACCAATTAGTTCAATTAAATTTCGTAAAACATTATTAAGTTATGATTCCTATAATTAGAGAGAGTAAAAGACCTGTTAAATCAATAAATTTCACTGATCTCAAATGAATTTCACAATTCACGATGTTTTTATTGACAAATGTCAAAAATTCCCGCAATTTTGACACTTAGGCCTTTGGTAGAGACTACTGCATAAAACCTCGCAACTGTGATGTTTCGAAAAAGCGACTGGGATTTAAGCTTTTGTAAAAAATGTTTTAAACTGATTTTTTTGGCCTTCAACTTTTTGAGAAAGTAATTAAAAATTATTTTACGATACATTCTCTCGTTTACTATCTTCTTTTTCTAACGTTTCGAATACTTTACAGTTTTTTAATAGTAAAAGGCCAGGTATTTTTTTTAATTATCTTTGTCATCTGCGCTTTGATAAGATAAAAAAAGTAAAAACACTTTTTGGCGGGAACGCGAGGAGTGAAGTTGTGTGATTTGTTTTATTTTGTCTATTTAGTGTTTCTTCAGGTTTAAATGTGTAATAACGGTGGTTTATTAACTGTTTAGTATCTGTGAAAGTGCACAAATGTGGAAAACCGCAGAACGTAACTTCTGGGGATCCTCCGAACAAAAAAGGAAATTACTGGTGGTTGGACCTATTGTGAGTCCGCACGAGTAGGTACCACCGCCCCGTCTATTTTTGCCGTGAAGCAGTAATGCGTTTCGGTTTGAAGAAGGGTGGGGCAGCCGTTGTAACTATACTGAGACTTTAGAACTTATGTCTCAAGGTGTGCGGCGCATTTACGTTGTAGATGTCTATGGGCTCCAGTAACCACTTAACACCAGGTGGGCTGTGAGCTCGTTCAGACATAGAAGCAATAAAAAAAAAACTACTGAATAAATCTTAGTAAATGACCACCATTTTACTGAGATTATATTACATCTCATTTTATTTAATTTAGTTTCATCCCAGTTGATTAAGGTCTCAAATGAATCATCTTCATTTCATTTCACTCCATATTATCATGTTTCATAAAAATAAGAATATAAATTAAAATAAGATATGACTTAAAGGTCTTAGCTACCCGGTCATAAAATCCCTAACAAAATAGATGACTGAAGCATAGATTATACACATAATATATTCGAGGACTGAAGTCTGAAGTGTAAAATGTAAATTACTGTAAATGCAAACATTGCAAACTTATTTTTTTTTGATGCTCGGTCTTAAAATTTTACTGATAATGAAATACTATTACTGGTAGATACTCGGTAAACGCTAAATTTTGCTTCCGGTTATTGCAATAATATTGTTTAATAATAACCCTTAGGATATCATTCATAAAATGGGCTGGATTTTTTCCAGCAATCCATTGAAAGGTACTACATAATCATCACAACTTTATTACTTAATACAAGATACTGCTTTATCGTAAAAGAAGAATACATACCCAAATAATGTCTGAAAACACTGAAGAACTCACAACCCCGACAGAAGAAAAATGTACCAAAGAAACACTAAAAAATCAAGATGAAATGGATGAAAATGCAATATCTCGAATGACTGCTTCATACAGCGAAATATCCTTTCACTCCGATCAGGTACAACCAGATACCCAGGGAAAAACTGCAGGACCATCTAGACCTTATGATTTGCCATCAGAAAACCGTAAGCAAGATAAATTACCGTTAGACATGGACGGTCATGTGAGGTATGAAGGTGAAATGACCCATTATGTTGCAGATGATTTAGAGTTTAAAATCAAACTATCAAGTCCAGTTGCTAAAAAAGGAGAAACACCTGTCTTTGGTAGTTCCAGCGCATCACGTTCCAGCACACCTTCAGGAAAGCTATACAGACAGATTTTGGCTCCTCAGATAGGTCAAATAGACATCACAGTATTACATGATCTTGAACATGAAGCTCAAAAAATTGCTCAATCAGTTGATAATTTAATTGAAAACTTGTCTAGTATTTTGCATTCAAATTCATCACTTACTGCTGAAAATATGGATGTTTATAAGGATGCAGTAGGTAAGACTTGCGATGCAATGGACAATAACATCAAGAGTATGTATACAATACTTGCAAAAGGTGAAGAAGTGTCACAAGCTATGATCCCTGTACAAGCTCAGGCAGCAAGGATAGCAGAGATAAAGAGACTGTTACAGTTATTTGAAAATAATTTCTAATATTGTAATTCTAATTGTGTACATATTTTTATTAAGTAGACTGTCAGATATGTTCTTGTTCCATCTGGTGTTCAGTATTTACCTTAGCTTATAGACATTAGAAACATGAGTACCAGAGACCCACACATGAGGCGTAAGGTGGAAGTCTCAATAGGAATGTATTATGTTTCAATAGCTATATTACAATGAATTAATCTTGGTTGTGTGGTATCTGATAGTTAGAAAGTCGTAGATAAGGATCCTGCTACTACAGATGTGTTTAATAGCTCTACAGACTATTGTCATTGTAGGACTACAGACTAAATATGTATCTTGCGCTTTTTTACAAATAGTTCACTAATAGTGTCATGATACCACATGTTTGGCACAGTTGTCAAGAATGATAGTGTTAAAACAAATAATATATTAAATATTTAAAAGTATTATGTCATTAATTGTACACACGCCTATCAGAATGACATTGTACATAACTTTGTTCAAATGTGGTAAGAATGAATTATACTTGACCTTATACAGGGTGTCCCCAAACATAAAGACATTAATATCTAAGAAAAACACTAAAATTTTTGTCCTAGGTATTTTACTTGTGAGGTTATGGATTTTTTAAATATTAAAATGAAGTTTTGCGATATACACACAATTTAACATTTTAAAAAATCGATTATCATGCTTTTGTTATTTTCGTCCAGCGGCTTTGTTTCATTTTCCCACATTTGTGCACTTTCAAAGATATTAAACAGTTAATAAACCACCATTTAAACCTGAAGAAATACTACTAAATAGGTAGACAAAATAAAACAAATCACACAACTTCACTCCTCGCGTTCCACAGCTCACAGCCCACCTGGTGTTAAGTGGTTACGGAGCCCATAGAAATCAACAATGTTAATGCGCCACCCACCTTGAGATATAAGTTCTAAGGTCTCAAGTATAGTTACAACGGCTGCTCCACCCTTCAAACCAAAACGCATTACTGCTTCACGGCAGAAATATGCAGGGCAGTGGTACCTACCCGCGCGGGCTCACAAGAGGTCCTACCACCAGTAATTACGCAAATTATAATTTTGTGGGTCTGATTTTTTATTACCTACACGATGTTATTCCTTCACCGTGGAAGTCAATCGTGAACATTTGTTGAGTACGTATTTCATTAGAAAAATTGGTACCTACCCGCCTGAGATTCGAACACCGGTGCATCGCTCGACACGAATGCACCGGACGTCTTATCCTTTAGGCCATGACGACGACAAATGTATGGCTCTATTGGCTTCCATTTGCTGCATGGGTCGAGTTTGTTTAAATCTTCAGTTATTAATTACATACATTAATTTACTTTATATAATAATGAGAGTTCTGTGAGACTTTTTTACACTTTGTTACATTTTTCATATTTGTGTACCACCGTTATTACACATATAAACCTGGAGATACACTAAATTAACAAAATAAAAACAACTTCGCTCCTTGCATTCTCGCCAAAAATCCTGATCACAGCTCAATGCTGATTCTAATCATAAAGTTAATATTTAATAGTCTGGATACTAGTCTTTTAGCCAAAGCGTTAGAATTATGATCGCTATCTCGTTTCATTTTGTCACACTTCTGCACTTTAGCAGGAATTAAACACCATTGACACATTTAAACCTCGCAGAAACACCAATTTAACAAAATATCTTAATTTAGACAACTAGATATAAATTTAGATAACTATAATACTACTCATATTCCCGCCAGAAAATCTTACTTAAATCAAATTAAAAATACCTTGCCATATGGTAGAAACTCCACAAATTTCGGGGGTAATTTTTGTCTAAAGAAAATCAAAATATATCGGCATCAAGTAACAAAGTTACTGCATTCTACGAACATTTCATACACAGACTATATATTTAATTCTTCATCTTCGTTTGTCAATAGACATATGTGTATATATTTTAAGAAAATGGTATCAACTTTAGGTATAGATACTGAATATCCGATCCGGTAATAGATGAATTCGTGATGCATCTGCCCCTAGATGATCAGCCTCCTTCGAAGGCACTCGGACCGCTGTTAGCAAATTCTACTCCACCTGGCTTATCCCATGTTCGCCCACCTTTTCTGACGAAACTGGCAAGCCGTCTCCAGTAATTCTTCCATTCTTAAAATAAAAAATCGCACAAATAAATTACTAAATTACTAAATCACTTATTAGGTACGTGTACACAGGGCGTTAATAAACACTGATATTGGACTTTGTATTGTGACTGGCCAATGTCATTATCAAACCTGTTTTTTTAAATAAAATGCTGTGAGCCCGTCTTCCAATCAACGTATGAAAAAAATTGCCAACGGAAAACTGCTAGTTCAGAGTTTTATATTCTTTTGAGATACGAAATAAATGTTGTAACAGAGAACCATCAATACCTTCTATTAATTTACTGAAAAGTGTTATAAGCTTACCTTATTTTTTCTTTCAGTAAACTTTATAATAGAGGTTTGAGGAAAATTTCAAACATCAGTCTGGTAACCAAAGTCATACGGTCAACTCAATAAATTTTTCATTCTGTCAAGTACTGTCAATAGGAGCGGTCACGCTTCGCAGTCTAACCAAGTACGTCTTGGAAAGAAAACAAAAAAAAAATGTAATTTTAAAACTAACATGAATATTATAAATGTAGTTACCAGATTCAGCTTACACGCATTAGCCTCATGACCATTTACTAACACTAAGCACTAACGAGGTACGACGTGCAAATGGGGGAAGTTGTAAGCTTGTTTTCTGTGATAATAATGAAATTTAAATCTAAATTCAATGAAAGTAAAATATATTTCCAATATGATCTTCCTTGGGAAAGACTCAAGAGTGTGAAGTGGATGAATGAACGTGCTACTTCCAATAAGGCATATGTGCCTACCACGGTATGTATTTTTTAGAGAATTATAATATAAAATTTATTCGATAAGACAAGTTAAAAAAATTTAAAGCAATATTATTGACTGTAAAATATATTGAGGATATAATAAAATAAGTTGTAAGTTTATTGTAAGCATCTTTGAGTAAATTTTTTTTAACATATTATAAATGGACAGGAAAATACATGGACATGAATAAAAATTAAACCTAACACAAACAAAATACATAAATAAATATTTGAGAGGTGGAAACAAGTTGTTTTTACACACAAGCAATAAAAAAAAAAACTGAAGTTTTATCGAAGCTGAATAAAATATTCTAATTAAAACATCACTATTGGGAAAAATATTCAGAATGAAATTTAATTATTACAATATTTTATGTATCCGTACAAGGGAAGAGAAGCTATTGATCTAAAGGGTATTAATTGGATAGTGAAGTTCATTGTAAATAAAAAATTCTTAAAGATTTGCAAAAGTCAACAGTCAGTGCATGAGAAACACACTGTGATCCAAGACCAATAAATGTAACATGCTCTTTTATTAAAAAAATTAGATTAACTCAGAAAAACAAGTTAGCATATTTAGGAACTTATTGATTAGCCATGGTCTACTAAGTCTAATGATACTGATTACTGACTTGGTGTAAGATTTTTACCATTACGGTCTTCTCATAATTTTGGATTTCTAATGCATCTAGATTTATCCACTACCTTGGTCTGCAATAGTAAATTGAAACAATAAAAAATAATAATGATAAAAAATATTTGTAATAGTATAAACTTTTTGCGAACCTTGAAATTAATCATATGCAAACATATCAATATTTATACTAGCTTAGACTCAAAGATCTTGAAAATAAAGATTAAAATTTAATGGAAAGTTTTGTGAATTAACCTTCTTTTGACAGCTCTGCGAAGATGATAAGTAATGATTTACCATCATACAAAATTATGATTTTGTGGCATGCTGTCGATCCATACTTATTATTATATGTATCTTACAGCTAGGTCTGCTTACAACCATGCATATTTATGTTTTTTTATACAAATTAATTTGTTAGACTTAATTATGTTGAAATAAATGGCTTCATGGAAAAAAATATATATTAAAATACCAAATAATTTCAATTATTTATTAGAAATACACAGTTTTGATTGGTTCTTATGATGAATTTGGTATTTGTTGTGCTCTCAACCAGTGTTCCAGCACTTGCATGGTCAATATTCACAGCTAAAGTATACCATTCGTTATTACCCACATAATACCTATATGTTAAGATCAGACAAATTTGAAAACTCGCCTCGAAAGCTCATGAGGTTTGCAACAACAATACAAACTCGCCTCGAAAGCTCATGACGTTTGCAACAAACAATACAAACGGGCATATAAAAACCAAAATCATTGTAAGGACTCATTAAGGCTAAGCGAATACCATTCATCATATTGGTGTCTCTCCACTATGATCGACGATTATATGAAAAAAAAAAGTTTTTTATCCCTTGGTCTTTTGTTAATTAACCGCGAACGATTAATCATATTAAAATTGTAAAACCAAAGAAAGTAAACACATTTAGTTATCCATCTTAATGTGGGTAATCTGAATAAAATGTCAACACAACCCATGGGCTCAACCTAAACTGGCTACTAATTACAAAATAAACGAAGCACTGCAGATAGCACGATTCCTACATTCGTAGTTAACTACAAATAAACACACGAAGAACTTTTGTTTGTGAAAAATATTTTCTAATATTTCACCAAAACGATCGTTTGTACGATAGAAGTGAATAGTTTTCAACAATTAACATTATGTATATATAGGTGGAGAATGTAGCAAATGTCTGTACCCACGCATTATGCGTGGCCCCGGCTTCGCTCGGAGCGCGGGAACTTCTCTCCCGCTCCGTGAATGCGCCCCAGGCCATCGCAGCTGTAGTGTACGGACTAGCACTGTGTCTTCTCTTCGCAGTATCCACCACCTTCCATTCAGTGTGCTGTTGCAAGTCTGATACGTAAGTCAATAACTTCAGCCTAATTCATTAAATAAGAACTGTCTTTTTTTATTGCTTAGATGGGTGGACGAGCTCACAGCCCACCTGGTGTAAAGTGGTTATTGGAGCCCATAGACATCAACAATGTAAGTGTGCCACCCACCTTTAGATGTAAGTTCTAAGGTCTCAAGTATAGTTACAACGGCTGCTCCACTCTTCAAACCGAAACGCATTTCTATTTCACGGCAGAAATAAGCAGGGCGGTGGTACCTACCCGCGCGGACCCTACCACCAGTAATCGAGTCGAATTCATATTAAAATAGATTCCGGAGCGTAACTTGGACCGTACCTCACATTATTGATTCACAAGTTACATGTTCCAATAAACAGTGTTACAGTCCAAAGTAAATATTAAGTAATATTTATACGTTCAACTGCCATATGTGAGCACTATTGACATTATGTTACCTGCATTATTATGAGCTTCGGTTTAATTCAAAACGGTCGTACATTCTCAGACTACGATACCCAGCGACGTGCCCGTTTTCCCCCTACCTATTCGCTGGTAGCCCAAGAGGCTATTCCAGCAACGACCGGACGGGAGCTCGTTTTAAATCGAGATTACAAATAATATTCTATTTAATATAATAAATACAATCGCAAACGTCTGTGAGGACGGATGCATGTTTTTTATTATTTCACGAAAATTCATTATGTTTATTTTTTATTTTTTATTGCTTAGATGGGTGGACGAGCTCACAGCCCACCTGGTGTTAACTGGTTTCTGGAGCGCATAGACATCCACAACGTAAATGCGCCACCCACCTTCAGATATAAGTTCTAAGGTCTCAAGTATAGTATATGTAAAATATCAGAAATGCTTTTATGTATATCAGTATGGCAGGTAGACTATATAATATATAACGATCTAGGCACGATTGGTGGTGCCCGAGTTGTATGGAGAATCTGATGATCTGATGATTTGAATCTGAGAATCTGATTTTACTATGATGTCTGTCTAGTAGTATAAACTGAACGAGTTACTGAAGTATTGATTTCCTAATCACAATATTACAAAGTTGACATTATATCACTGATAGAAACACAGCCATAAAAGTATAGCCAATATCTACAGACCATTAACTTAATTTGATAAATGAATATTTATTTTGAAAATAATTCGATCTCGGAAATTCGATGTTGTAGTTGACTTCGAACTCGAAATACTAAATACTAGAACTGAATACTAAATGTATCGAAAGAAGACACGTGCTCTCTAACTTTATCGAAACAAAATATACCCAATAATATAAATGGCATTGGAAATCAACCATACTATCAATAGAATTCAGATCTGCATCGTTCAAGCGTTCATGAATTCCACTAGCATAAGCAATTATTGGAGGTTTGTGACCGACGGGCCGACCTTTCGGGGAATTTAGAACAGCCGCTCAAAAAGGTGAACAACATAAATTGTCGTATATTATTAACTAGCGACCTGCCCTCGCTTCGCTTCGGAAACATTAAATTTTATTATTGATAGTTGAGTCCCGCGATTTTACCCGCGGTTATTGTCGTACCGCGAGTGACGCCGCGGGGCGAAGCTAGTCTAAAAAAAAGTAGCCTAAGTTACTCCTTATATCATCAGCTACCTGTCAGTGAAAGTCCCGTCACAATCGGTCCAGCCGTTCCAGAGATTAGCCGGAACAAACAGACAGACAGACAAAAAGTGTAAAAAATGTTATTTTGGTGTATGTACCTCTACTCATATGCATGTAGTAAAAAGCGGTTATTTCAATATTACAAACAGACACTCCAATTTTATTTACATGTATAGATACGGTATGATCAATTACTTTTAATTAGATGTCCCTTAAAATACTTTGGATGATTGAAAATTCTATATAAGTATAGGAAATTTTGACTTTTTTTTTTTTTTTTTTTTTTTTTATTGCCTTTGTAGGCAGACGGGCATACGGCCCACCTGATGGTGAGTGGTTACCGTCGCCCATGGACTTCAGCAATGCCAGGGGCAGAGCCAAGCCGCTGCCTACAGGCCTACAGGCCTACAGGCCTACTGCCTGACTAGAAACTTCCACACAATGTGACCTAACGGTGGATCGTAGGAAATTTATTAGTTAACATTTATTGGTTAAGGCAAGCTCATGTTCAATCCAATGTTAAGCGGCTGTTGGATAGACACCACAGTGACATTGAATAGGGTAGAAATACAGATGATGGTATCTAAGCGTACTCACCACATGCCACCAGTGCTCAGGATGGAACTGCGGGCCTATAGATTAGGGAGTCTTAAGCGACTTTCAGACTACGCTATACTATAGTGCCATATAGTATAGCAGCGTATACTTAATCAATAATACCTAGTCAGGTCATAAGTATTGTCACACAGTAAAAACTTTTCTTTTAGAATGCTGGCCACAAAAAAGTTTATTGAATTCGAATTTCGAATTGTTCATGAAAATAAAAATGTATACTTTTAGAATTTTACTCATTTTTAAATATGGAGTGGACGCTTAAAGAAGACCGTGTTGCAGTTATTGCGTTGCATCGTTGCGGTTACGCGCCAATTCAAATTTTTAACATACTGAAAAATTTGAATATAACCAAAAGATTCGTTTATCGTACCATCAAACGATACAATGAAGACTCTAGTGTAGATGACAGGTCAAGAAGTGGTCGCCCTCGGTCTGTTAGGACTCCAGCAGTGATAAAAGCTGTGAAGGCGCGAATTCAAAGAAATCCCAAACGTAAGCAGAAACTGTTGGCCCTTCAGATGGGGTTAAGCAGAACCACGGTGAAAAGGGTGTTAAATGAAGACTTAGGGCTTCGGGCATATCGAAGAAAAACAGGACATCGTTTGAATGCTCGTCTAATGGACCTGAGACTGAAGAGATGCCGCGCTTTGTTGAAGCGGTACGCGGGAAAAAAATATCGGGAAATTCTTTTTTCGGATGAAAAAATTTTTACCGTAGAAGAGAGCTACAACAAACAAAATGATAAGGTGTACGCACACAGTAGTGAAGAAGCGAGCAACCGTATTCCGCGTGTCCAACGAGGTCATTTTCCATCCTCGCTCATGGTATGGTTGGGAGTTTCTTATTGGGGCTTAACAGAGGTACATTTTTGTGAGAAAGGTGTAAAAACGAATGCAGTTGTGTATCAAAATACAGTCCTGACGAACCTTGTGGAACCTGTTTCTCATACCATGTTCAATAACAGGCACTGGGTATTCCAACAAGATTCGGCGCCAGCTCATAGAGCGAAGAGCACACAAGACTGGCTGGCGGCGCGTGAAATCGACTTCATCCGGCACGAAGACTGGCCCTCCTCCAGTCCAGATTTGAATCCGTTAGATTACAAGATATGGCAACACTTGGAGGAAAAGGCGTGCTCAAAGCCTCATCCCAATTTGGAGTCACTCAAGACATCCTTGATTAAGGCAGCCGCCGATATTGACATGGACCTCGTTCGTGCTGCGATAGACGACTGGCCGCGCAGATTGAAGGCCTGTATTCAAAATCACGGAGGTCATTTTGAATAAACTTTAGTGTCATAAGAATCTATGTTTTGTTAAGTTCATTTTGGTATATGAATGGTTACATAATGAATAAACTTGTTTCAATTATTTTACATTAAACATGTAACAGAATTTATGACCTGACTAGGTATATAGTACAGTACAGTGTGAGCGTGTCCATAACAATGTATGGTGCACGATATTGTTGTGCTATGAGCTATATACTATATGCTATTATATTATAAGGTAATCTGCTTTTTATTATTATATATTATATTATAAGGTAGTAGCTTTCAGCGATAAGGCCGCCAATTTATATCACCGACTTTTATTTGTTTTATTAGTTTACTCTGTACATAATATGGTGTTAAATAAAGAGTTATATTATTAGTCTGAAAGTAGCTTTATAGGAAGATAGACGAGGATGCTGCTACGACGGACTGATAACAGGAAATTGTGCTAACGATCTCGTAGGGTCGTATATTCGTATCCTCTGATTTATAAATTGGGCAGAAATATCATCTATAAGATTTTTTTCGACGAAGTATTATGAATTTAATTGTAATATTTAGTGATCATGAAAGCTATATTTGTTCTCATAAATCATCATTGTCGCTGAAAGATAACACCTGAGACAATTTAACCACTTTAACAAAAATATAGTAGAAAATAATTATAGACAGAATGAAAGATTGGGTTCTATATAAAAATGAATGTTTGTGAGTAATCGATGCGTCCGTGCGCGTCTTTTATTGTTTAAATTTTGAACACTAATCATAGAAAACATGGAGACGCTACATCAAAGTTTTTGGTACTCATTTTTATAGGAAACCAAACGTTAATTTCGGCTTAAATGATATAACAGTCATTTCTAAATGCAATTGACTTTTTAAGTTCATGATCCGTTGTGGTGGCAACAACGGGGGTCATTCCGTATATAAAACTTTTTTTTTTCCTATCTATTCTGATAGCCTTGAGAGGCTATATCAGCGTTACCCTGTAGGTGAGCTCACGGGGCTCAAACCGGAGTGTTGCTAACACTGGCCCTAGCAAGTGCAGTGCTTCGCAGAGTCTACCGCCGGATCGGAAACGCGACCCACAGAAGATCCGGCGAGAAACTCAGTGGGATGTGTCTGTGGGTTAATTTACTCGCCGAGCCCTTCGTCGCAAGCGACGGGTTTGGTGAGGTTGGTGACCGGTGATTGAGGTACCTAAAAGAAGCACCGTTAATGGATCGGGTGGATCCGTAATGACGTGTTTAGGGCGACGATAAAACAACAGCACGCGAATCGGCGTATCTATTTTCGCTATGAAATCTATAATATGTAGTATGTAAGCCGCCCTTAGTAGTACCCTTCTCAGTGAAGCCTAAAAATACCCATATCTTGGTCGGCATTCAAAGCCTTATAAAGATAACAACATTTACTGCGTTTTATTCAACAATTGAAAAGGTTTATTCATAGTTCAGGTCGTCAAAACGTAC